TCCATTGCCTTCTATATAGAAATAATAATTTCATCACTGAAATCCAGGGCTTTTTTGTTCATTCCACCAAACTCCACAAAACTCACAATTGATCATCCCAAAAGCTTCACAACACCTCAAAACCACTTCCTCAATCAAAAGCAGCCATTCCTAAGCTCTCTAACCTAGTCCAAAACCAAGCCGGATTCCCCCTTTGGTCTAGATCATACTTAAATCCAACCACAACTCAAATTAGCACTTAAAGGACGTTCGTGGACTCAAGGCAAAGTTCTCAACAAACCCAATTGAGGACTCACCTCTTAGGCAAAGGTATAACCTGAAATTTCTCATTTTTACCTCATTTTGGACCTTTGTGAAAGAAATTTATATTTCATGTGTATTTAGCCGTATGTATGTGTTAGTCACGTAAATGAAGTTGTAGAAACAAACCCCATGATATTTGGAATATCGAGTGAGATCGTAGGGTTAGAACGTGAACAGTTCTCAAGTTTGGGCGATCGGGGATGATGAACGGGTGTTGTCCATTTCCACGTGTATCAAAAAAATGATGGAGATCAGGTCAGATTGATGAATGATATGTGAACCACAGGTCGATTCATCAACGTACATGAAAGTGCAACCAATCAAGCAAAGACGCGTGGGGCTTCAGAATTGGCGAGGTTGACGCGACGCCGACGTGTATAAGTAGATAAATAGGAAATTCTCTATTTAAATTAATTCAGAAACTTTCAAAATTCATATCTTGGTGTAGAAAAATCACAAAAAAAATTAAAACACATCTATGCTCAGTAAACAGAGGAGAATTTATTCAACTAAAAATAAAAAATATTCATTAAGTATTTTATTATAAATTAATTTAATACTCCATAGAGTAATTAAATCATAATTATATGAATATTTATCCAAATTAAATAAAATTTTTAGGGTTTATTCCCAATGATCTTAGGAGCATCCTTTGATTTTTTCAAAGTTAGAGAGCACCATAACATGAAAAAACCTAATTTTCTAGGATTATTAGCATTATTTTAATTAAAAAAATTATAAAAAAATAAAATAAGAAACTAGAAAAATATAAATCAAATTTGTTAGGTTCACTGTGGCTAGAGAACCTTAGAAAAAATAAAAAACAAATTTAAAAAGTTAAAAGTACTTTTTTCTATTTTAAAATAAATAAAAATCATTAAAAAATAAGAAAATATAAAACAATTTAAAAAATTAGCAAAATGGCTCAAATTGAAGAGAATGATCTTAGAAAGCCTTTACAAAAATTTAAAAGTCATAAAAAGTTATTTTTAATATAGAAATGTATTTTCTAAGTAAATAAGGATTTTAGCTTGGAATAATTCTAAAAAAAGAAATAAAAAATCAGAACATTATAAAAATTAATTTGGAGTGTTCTTTGAAACTAGCGGCACTTATGAAAAACAAAAATAAAGTTAAAACAAAAAGTTAAATTTTTAGGCATTTTTCTAATTTAAAAATAATTAGAAATAGAAAAAAATCACAAAATATAAATATACTTCAAAATGTCACAAACTTCACCCTAATTAAGAAAACAACAAAAAAAATGCTTTTGTAAATTTTTAAAGTGTAAATATATATTTTTAAGTACTTAAATGTATTTTTATGCATTTTTGGATAAAATAATTATAAAAATAAAATAAAAATCATAAAAATATGAAATTCATTTCTCTGTGTTCTCTGAAGTCAGGGAGATCAATGAAAAATATAAAAAATAATTTTTTAAATAAAATATATTTTATATTTATTTATTTATTAAAATTAATTAAAAAAATTAAATATTATTCAAAAATTTCTGAAAATTATTTCAAGTGGCCCTCTAACCTAGGTAAACCTTTTAAAAATTTACTAAGAATATAAAGTGTGTTTTAGTTAAATAAATTAATTAACATTGAAAATTCCTTTTTTTTACTAAAATAAGTTCATAAAAATTAAATAAAAATTAGAAAAATAGAAATTCTTCTCTGATGTGTAGATTGACCCATAGGGTAACAACAAAGTGTTAAAGACTTTGAAATTAAATTGAAGGAATTATGGAGTAAAAAATCCTAAGGGTAAAATGGTAATTTTGAAATTTCATATCTTAATTAAAATTTAAGTCAAACCAGAGGGAAAGGGCACTTAATTAGGATGATTTGAGATCAAATACAATTTATAAATCTTTTTAAAATTATAAAATTTCCCCTAAAGCCTTTAGGAGCTTAATGGTGAATCAAAATGAGAACTCTTGTTGAATAATTTGAGGACAAGATTAAAATGATAACAACATCTTGAGATACCATAAGCTAGGAACCAATAGGAAGGGGAAGAGTGAAAGTCTCCCAATACTTTGCAAATACATCCTTAGGGTTAAACCATATCAAAATTGATTTCACCCTTACTCATGGGTTAATTAAAACATAAAACATTGAGCACAGTTTAAAGAACAATGTAATTCAACATGGGTTGATTAATTCAACAACATAGTAAGATCAAATGAATTAGAAGTGACCGAGAAATATTAAGGGTGTTTTAGAATTATATCTTAAATACCATTGAGAGATGTTGGATATTTCGGAGGACATTTGAGTTTACTACACTTTGTTGTGCGAAATCATCCACAAAACACAACAATCATTACATTCAAACTGAACAAACATGAAATCTCTAAGGACCCACCAAGATATGACTCAGGACCCGTTAATACACATCAAATGAAAATACCCTAACACAACTTATCTTACCATAATAACCCAATGCTCAAGGGTATGAGTCTTGGATATGATATTTATACCCGTGGGGGCACTTGAGAATTTTTAATGCCACATATGGATCATTGGGCTTGTGTAAGTTGGTGGTTCAAGTGGCGAGGGCGATGACGATAATGCTTATGTGTGCTAAGAGTGGGACATTAAGATAGTGTCTCCTACCTCAGATCTTTAGGGAGGGGATGTGACCGGTGATTTTGTTCCCCAACTTTTGGTAAGAAGTTGTCCTTGATTTCTTAGGTAGCCGGTAGTTATAGTTCGATCAAGGTGAGGAATTTGTGGACTATCCTATTTTACCAAAACATTTACATACAACATAACAAAAATATATTTTCCTGTGACAACACTACTTTTGATTGCTAAGTAAGTTTTACATGCATGAAAAATTAAAGAATTTTTTGATGTTACCCTATAAAGGTCCACTTATTAAGCACTATGATTGAGGTCAGGAATTGCCCTCCTTAGATTTGCTTGGTTGGTGGCTCATATCCAAAGTTGGGATTACAAAGCATACAACTCAGCTCTGAGCCCTATGATAACAAGTTTAGTTTTACTTGAGTTGTGTGTTCTTACGATTTGCTTAAGTTTTTCTCATACATAATTTTCTTACAATTTGCTTAAATTCCCTGCATTTGTTTAAATTTCATGCATGTTACCGTATTATGTTTATCGTACTAACCTTGCAGTAGTGGCAAGAATCCCAGGCACGCAAATTTATTTTTTACATTTACTGCATATTATTGTGCTTTACTGTTCTTTTATATTCTACATACTTGTTATATCTGTTAGAATAGGAGAATAGTAGACTGATTATTTAGGAGGTACACAGTGACAGACCACGAGACCCAACATTAATTGCATGTTCACATTGAATCCTAAACCTGAAATCATTTTGTAAAGAACAAGTTGCAAGCAGATCGAGGATAACTTTCGTCGACGAATCAAGACTCAACAACATTAACTGGATCTACATCAGCTAAACTTTCCTCAGACTTAAATAATTAATCAATAGGACTTCGAGGTTGTATGTTTAGTGCGACATAAATCCTCATAGCATCTTTACACTTTTGCACAACCATTGTGTGCAATACAAACCCTAACTCTCTTAGGGTTCCGAGGTCGTCGTCTGATACAACATAAGTCCTCATATCATCCACGCTATTTGAATGATCGGATATCCTGCAAAAATAAGCCCTAAATAATAAAAATTGATAGAATTGAAACATCAAATAATATTATCATAAAAAAGGTAAGGCCAAACAATAGGATTATTTGAGAATTCACCGATGTTCTCCTCATCGTGACATCCTCTACTTTTCACTCATTTGACTTCTAAAATAATTGCTCCTATTTAGTCCTTTCCTACTTGATTTTCTCTATGTTCAACCTTGAAATCTCGAAGACAAAAATCTCTGATCATTATCGAGAGTTTTCTTAAGTGACATTATTCATTTATGATGTGATTAACTATAAAGACTTGCCTCTGTAAGGAACTAAAGAACCCATGTAATATAAACCCAACATAATCTTCAATATTCGGTAGGAGAACTTGTCAGTTATACATTAAAGATTCACAGACCAAATGAATGTCATAAACTGTTTTAGTTTATTTAATCGACCCCGATGTTGAGTAATGTGTCTATTCTCTGGGATAGATGCATTATTTTTCGTTTATTTAAACTATATGTATGAAATCTTGTTAGTCTTATATTTTTAAAATTAAAATGCTATTTTCCAAATTTTAAAAAATATATATTAAATTAAATTATAATCAATTTCAAAATTAAAGCGACCAAATCCAAATTCCGACCGACAGTCACCAGAGTCGGAGATTGGAGAGAAGTATGAAAGGAGAAGAGAGTTCATGCCACCAGAACCATAGATAGAAGAGAAGCGAGAGAGGAGAAGCGGGCTAGGGCATAAACGTGAGAGAAGCACGAGAGAAAAATGGGCACACGAGTGAAGCTCGCAAGGGCCGCAAGGTCATTTGTTTCAAAAAAAAATGATAGCCGCAGGGTCAAATCTGTGACACTCGTTTAGATAGGATTTTCCCAAAACGTGACTACATCGCAATATCCAAATGCAGCTTCTTGCATTTACGTGTCTTGATACATTGGTACTCCAATTATGGCCCACCTAAAAAAAAAAAAATTAATATATGAGTAATCTCAATGTAAATACGACACAAACACACTACTCAAAATGAAATATTTTTTCCAACCTTACTCAGCAAATTAATATCAAAGCGCGCACAAGCTCCCTCGCGGTTTTCTCGATTTTGGTCTCTTTCTCCATCTCGGTTTCCCTTGGAGATCGGTGCAAGTAGGTGGTGCAGGTAGGCGTCGAATTTATTCTTTTGTTTCGTTCATTTTCAATTTTCACTGTAAGTTTACGAAGCATATTGGTTTAGTAAACCTGTAGGTATCTCTAGGAATGGACTTGAGCCAGGCTTGTATTCCCGGCGAGGAGAACAAAGCTTCTGTATTACCATTGCCCGATTCTTTTCTTGAATTTCTGAAGGAGAATGATCTTAATTCATCGATATATACTGGTTTGGATACCATCCCACGCTATATAAGGTGAGATTTCTTTTAAAAAATTATTTTTGTAGCCATGTAATCCTTTATATGCTGTACCAAGCTTTTGCCAACCACTATTCCGGCTACATTAGATTAGCTTAGCATATTGAAGAAAAACATTTGTGTATTTTGCCCAAAAAGCTGATTTGTTGATTAATAAACCATGCTGGCTATTGTTATGCATTGTATTCTTTTCTCGTTTTCTTCCGCATCGCTTTTTGTGAAACCCTATTTTACATACTGCTATAATCTTAAATTTTGATTTGCAAGATTGAAACCTGGTTATGAATCTCAGCTAAAAGAGATTGAAACTGAGCTAGATTGCAAGCTGGAGAAGGTAGATTGGCTACCAGGCTTCTTTTCCATCCCTCCTCAGATTCAAATTGCTAGAACAAATGCATATCGCTCTGGAAAGGTGAGGCAACTGCTCTGTTAAGTGCAATCCTAATAATGACTTTACTTCTTTTTTGTGATTTTTTAGCATGTCTTGTAATTAAATAAAGCTCGCATTGGAATGCCACACGGTCAACTACTCCAAACAACAAATGATTTAAAGTGACTGAACTAGACGTTCTTGTTCAGAATGATACACAAGATAAAAGACTATTATTTGAGGTTTTCATGAATTTAAGTAGCTCTGTAGTCCCTAAATGCAGAACGAAGTTGTAGACCAACCCAAGGCTGTTTCTTGCTTTAAGATATACTCATGTATGCTTTTTTTAGCATCAAATATCTTTGTTTACCATGTCAAAAATCAAACTTGGTTCTTAAACCTTTGCAATTAAATTATCTACCTGTTTCATGTTCGCTGTATAATTGCCTAGGGATAATTAGTTGTAAGGCTTTTGCATTCAAAGCTATTATTTGCTCACCTTTATCAATTTTAACTGTTTGACATCTATCTGGGTAGTATGATGAATGTCATGGTCTCCTTTAGGAAAAGTATGTACCCATGTATAAACTCACTGTTATTATTGTTCTTACTCCAGCTTCAGTATTCGATGTCATAAGTTAAAAACTGCTTGGTTATCTTAAAACCAACTGTGATTTTCTGCTTGCTGCAGCTTTTTTTTTATGGCACTTTTCTGTAATCTCATTTACTCCATATCATATGCTGTTCGCTGAGTTCATTGGGTTTTTTTAACTTCCCTTACGGGCAATATAATCACGTGCCTTTGCATAATGACAATCATATAACTATGGAGTCTTAGTTGGATGATTTTCATGGAAGGTATTTGATTCAAAATGTGGATTTTTAGCCGCACTACAACCCTTAACTGCAGCTCTCAATAAATAAGTGATCAGAGTGCCCAGTGAGTCTCCAAAGTAAAATTATACATGGACCTTATATTACCTTAAATCAATCAGTAAATAACAATTAGTAATGGTGGAAGAAATCATGAAGGTGTTGAGATTTTGGTTCTTTCTATATCAACATCATCATCATCAGCAAATTTTGGATTAATTTTTGAATTAATTTCCATTTTTCTCTATTACATATTTCACGAGATGTTAAACTTATTCTGCTAAAATCTTTTTGGGCAGCTTCTAGCTAGGTTATCTTTACTCATTTTTTTCCTAATGTTTCGACAGATATTCTTTTTTCTTTATGCATCTTATTGGTGAATTTTCTATTTTTCATTATACATGCTCGGGCCATTCAAGTCGATTAACACTATGATGTAGGGCATCATCATTGTCATCATTGTTGTCATCCTGAAGTTTAATTTTATGTTTTAAGAGATAATATGATTGTAAATTGTATACACCCATGTTTTTGGGTCTTTGGGTCATATTATATTTTTGGCATGTATGTGTTTTGTAATTTCTTATGTCATGGGCGATGATGCGGCCTTTATGTTATGGAGCTTGGTTGTAAGTGTGAAAGTGACATATATGAAAATTAAAGGGGTACATTTGATCACTTTGGATGATTTGGCTTATGAATCAGCCAAATCATTTGATTTTGGTTATAAAATTTAACCGTCAAACTATTTTTCAAATCAAACCAAACCAAACTTTAGTTTTGTTGGTTTGGGTTTTGTATGAATAAAATGTAATTATTTTTAGCAATGAGCCTAATTATCTTTAATTTAAATAATGTTTATTAAGAAGAATACTGAATAATATTTTTTAAAATTTATAATTTTAGCATGTGCAATAAATGTTATCCACATTAATCTTTATGTCACTTGTTTATTTACATGTGTTTATTGATTTGATGTTGGAAGAATTTAAGAATTAGATTTTGGGTTTATAAGAGCAAATATCAAACCAATAATGGAAAATTAATAAAAAGTTAAAATTACGACCAATAATCCATCTGATATTTTAGCAACTGAGCGAACCAGTGAAAGAAGATCAATTTGGTTTGATTTTTTGATTTTATCCAAACAAATTTCTTGCAAATGAAAATGTTGGTGGGTAATACTTTAGTGATAGTTTTGAATTTTGAAGTAGATTTATATCTTCCCGTCTTTCTTCCTTATTCATATAATTATTTCTCTTGTAACACCAAACCCTTGGTTATTGAATAAGAAGTTTTCTTATTTTTTTTATTTTCAATTCTTCTCGCGTTTTTCCACTCCGAAGTGACCCACTACTTGAGTATTTGAGGCATAGCTTTTAGAGAACCACTTTTAAGGAAGAGTGGAGTTCCTTGCGTGGTGGATTGTTCCATAAAGGTTGACTTCAAAATTATATTCACATTAAATCTATTACAATTTAAATTATCCATAAGTTAAATTATTATTATTATTATTATATTTTTTTTTACATTCATAGGAATTAGACTACTAATGTATTTAACATAACATGAGCTTGATTGATCCCACCTTTATCATTCTCTCATTATTGTATTTTCCTTAATATTGGTTGCCTATTTATCGTTCATATATATTTTTAGAACCACCGGTGCAGTCGTCTAGTTTATATTCATCTCATAGTAGAATACACTCATCTTATAGTAATTTACAATTATCTTACATCCGTGTATCTTATCTTGATTCTTTCTATGAAAAATGAAAATTAAATGAGAACACACCTGTCACTATTATGGTTGAACGGTATAATTGGAGAGGAGCCGCTATAGCGCTTCTTGTTTAGTTTGCTTGAGAACATTGTTATATGTATCTTATTATTATGCCAAAAAAGAATCCAGAAGCAAGGAAGCCCTTGGTCATGTGCAAGGATAATGCTAACATGACCTTGCTAAAACTTATTTAACTGAGAAATACTTAACATCGAATGCTACTCTATGCTAGAACTAACAGGAAAGAAGGATTCCTCAACTAGTCGTAAAATGATGTTACACATTGTATCGAAAGCTACCTTGTGTCCTGTTCTCTCTCCATGATGATCCTGTTCTCTCTCCATGATGATTGCCATTTATCTAGTTATATGAATATTATAATACTTGCAAGTTAATTTTTTGTTCAATGTGAATTATTTGTTTGACCAGAAAAAGCAGGTTGGTAAAAACTTCTACTGACGGTTGGCCTTATGTTGTTTATGATGCATATCCTCCGGGTTATCTATTGTTTAGTTTTTTTTAATCTTCAATGCATTACTTCATTCTTGACTTCCAACTTCACTTGTAGAAAATTGAAATAGGTTATCCAGACATCTTGTATCTAATCTAATGCATCACACTTCCACTAGATTTATGGAATGGATGCAGCATCAGGGGCAGCTGTGATGGCCTTGAATGTGACATGTGGAGATCATGTCCTTGATTTGTGTGCTGCCCCAGGTACCTTTTTCTTTATTGTAATTCACTTGTTTATCCATGTTTCTGCGTTTGCTTTTTTCATGTGCAGTTTGCTATGATGGGTATATGTTACGGTATTGGAAGATATAATCTTAGAACCATGTGGTGAATATGCCTTTTGATTTTAACTTTACTATTATCTAACCATATGCAGTTTTGGGGAAAACAATGCAAAAGTAAAACTATGCATAAATTACAGAAAAATATAAGCAAGGCTGTTTGACTCCCCCTTTAATAAACTTGCACGAGATATAGGCATCCAAGCCTATTTTAGTTTATTTGAATGTTTTTTCACTCTGGAGAGAAACTTATATTTCAATGTCTACCATGTTACTGCCCTGTGGCAACTAAATTGTTCATTTTGATTTTTCTTAATATTCTTATGTTCTTGCACTCGAAACTTTCTTTTTTCTGAAGTACTTTATTTTTGTATCCCTAAGTTGCTTTTAGAGAAAAAGTACGTTCTTTTGCAAAAAAGGAAAAAGGTAGATTCAGTTGCAGTGGGTTAATTATGGTCTAAATGTATAAATACATAAACTTTTATTACATAAAAATAAATTAATTTTCTCTAAACTACTTGGATTAAAAATTAATTTTTATTTTTTAAAGAATGCATGTCAGACAGCAAAAAATTTGGTAGAGTTTTGCCACTATATGATTCTACATCCGCTGCCACATGGACATCGGTGTGTCAATGATTCATGTTAAAGTTTCTTTTGGGAGTGTAGCATTACTTCTTTTGCTTTAATTGTAGCTTTTAGATAAATGAGTTCTGAGAGATATGGCTAGACTTAGTTGATGAAGTGTTGATAATATGTTTAAGTTTGATTTTGGTTTAGGACCATTGGAGGTTACTCATCTTCTGAAGGTGAAATTGAAAAGATTTTAGTTTGCAAACTTTGTGAGCAAATGTCACAAAAATTATGAGTAACTCTGGAAGTTGGCATATTCATGGAATCGTGGTTTTGAATTTATTTTTGACAAAAACAAAGTGTCCTTATTTGAAAGCACTTATATATATATATATATATATATATATACATGTTACTAAGTACCACCAAATGTGTGTGTGTGTGTGTGTGTGTGTGTGTGTTACTAAATACCACCAAGGCTTATTGATTTATTTGGTTAGGTATTTCCGAGGATGTCGGCACTTAGTTGACCTAGACCAAGAAAAGTCTTCTTGGATTATTATGTGATTGGTTTGGACCAGCCATATTTAGCCTTTTTGACTGCAAGCACTAAGCTACATTTTTCTATCCAAGGTCACATTGCCAACCGTAGATGGTTCTAAAATATCCCATTTCAGTGAATATGACATGTGGTTTTGGGCATCTTTTGGCGAAATTTCCCTTGCTCATCTTGGATGAATGATGCTATTTAATATATCCTGGAATTTAGAAGCAGAGGAGGTCAACCTTTCTTTTTTTGCATGATATAATTGTGCATGCATAAAGGGGATGCACAAGAATATGGAAATTTTAGAGGAATTAATTTAATGTGTCATATATTAAAGTTATGGAAGAAAATAATTGAACATATGTTCAACGTGATACAAAAATTTCTCAAAATCAATTTGGATTGATGCCGGGCAAGTCTACTATGGAATCTATAAATTTTGGGGAGAGTTGATGGAGAAATATATAGAGAGTAAGGAGGATTTACATATATCTTTGTTGATTTAGAAAAAGCATATGATAAGGTTCCAAGAGTACTTTGGAGAGTTCTAGAAAAGAAAGATGTTGATATTGGTTATGTTCAAGTCATTAAAGATATGTATGCTAGAGCTATTACTTGTTTTAGAACACAAGGTTGATTCACCATTTATTTTTCTATTTCAGTTAGATTACATCAGGGATCGGCTTTATGCCCATATCTTTTTGCTTTTCTTATTGAACATTTATAGGAGGATGCACCTTGATATATGTTTTTTGCTGATGTTATCCTTCTCGTGGATAAGACTAGAGAGAGTTCCGAAAAAATATGATTTGTGGAGGTCATTTTTTGAATCTAAAGACTTTCATTTGAGTAGATCTAAAATTGAATACATGGATGTAATTTTGATAGTAGTAGGTCTAGTGAGAGGGTTGTAACAATTGTTGATCAAGTCATTAAAATGAGTGAGCATTTTAGATATCTCGAGTCTATTGTTCAAAGCGATAATGATATAGACAGGGATGCTATTAGTAGAATTTGAGTCGTATGGTTGAAGTGGTGGAATGTATCAGACTTATTATGTGATAGAAAATTATCACTCAGACTTAGAAGAAGATTTTAGAAGATTTCGGTGAGACCTGCAATGCTTTATGGTGCATAATGTTGGCCTTGTAAAAGAGAAGCATAGAATTAAGCTATTTTGCTGAGAGGAGAATGCTTAGGTGGATGAGTGGCTGGCTTTACACTTAGAGACAAAATGCGAAACAGATATATTCATGAAATGGTTGGAGTAGCTCCAACGACAAACTAAATTAGAAATAGTCATCTTAGATGGTTTTGTCAAGTTAAACATCGACCATCTGATGACTCTATTAGGAGAGTAATGTTTAAATTTGACTTATGTTAAGAAAGGTAGAGGTAAGACTAAAAAGATCGGGACATGTTGTATAAAATAATGATCTTAATTTATTAGAATTAATGAAAGTATGACACTCAATAGGACACAATAGAGAAAATGATTCATGCAGCCAATCCCACTTAGTTGATTTAATTGTGCTTGCATATAGCTAGAGCTTAACTAAGACTCACTTTATTCATATTTATCTAAAATAAAAATTTATAGTACCGTTGAGTCATGGTTCTTGTACTTTTTCTAATTTTGTTCATTATGTGATGCATGCTAGTTTTAAGTTTAGTATTTCCTAATGCATCTAGAAAAATATAATTTATACAAATAATACAAGGTAGCTTAGGATTCATAGATCACAAACTAGTAAGTCAATCAATAGCTTTCATTAGATGCAAATATTATTTATAATAATTTTGGTCCAAATAATTATGTAATGTCTAAATTAATATGAAAACATTGCTAAAATGTTAGAAATAAGCAAAATCAACGAGAGATTGTTAGTTTCTCACCATAATTAGATTCATAATTGGGCCAAATTTGAACAAAATTTGGGATACTAGCAAACCAATAACAAGCTATGTAGCTCCAGGTTGTTGGTACAAAGAAGAATTTAACGAAGTTTGAAATCTTGGTCGCCAATAAGGTTGCTACTACCAAAATTTATTTCATACACTTTTTGATTTCTGAAATAGAAAACTTCAAATTTCTATTTTTTTTTCTGCTCTTTTGAACACAATGTTGCCAAACCCTTCTCCACGGAAAACAATATTATTGGCCATATTCCCTTTGTTAAAGGTTTCCTTGGGATTGAGGGATGCGATCCAAATCCAACGAGTGAACTTCAAATCATTTATTCAACATATCGCTTGAATGGAAAGTCTTATCCAAAGTGGTTATAATTGGTTTAGACATTTTTTAAGGAAAGAGAAAAAGTGGGCCGTTTATTTGGCACCAAACCTAAGTATGGAAATTTTTTTTTCTTAAATTTAGGGCGAGCATTTTTTCTTAAGTGATGTCCTGGTTATGAATCTATGTGGTTTTTGAGATAAGGCACACATGCCTGCTCCTTCATTTCAAAGTTTGTGATGTTAAATAAATCTATGAAGTCAAGGCCAAGATCTCATCCATAAAGAACGAAGGATAATTTATCATCGAATATTCAAACCTTTAGCAAAGCCTTTGGTAAGATATGGATCATGATCAAAGCATTTAATTGAAAGTGGCAAAAATGCTTCTCTCCATGAAAAAATTGTTGAAAAAAAATGATAGAAATGATTATTTAGCTGTAGTAAATGTTGAGTTTGATGCTGTAAGGGTACAATTATTAGAAAGTATGATTTACTATGATTAAATGAAAGCGATGATCCAAATTGAAGAAAGGAAACCATGATCTCTAATAACCTATTAGAGGGATTGACTTTAATATCATAGGCTGTTGACATTAAGAACTCTGACTCAAAGCTATCTCCTATTAAGGACCAGAAATGACAAATCTGAGTGATGATCAGTAGAGATATTATGGCACTCATATGGCAAAAAAACATGATATACAGAAGTGAGATATTGAAAACTTTGTGGAAAATCACAAAAATTGAAATTGGGCATAACAAATGTGACAAACAGAAGAGCAGGCACATGGATATATAGTACATTTGAGAAGATAATTCCAAAGAATAATCCATCGAGTTTCAAAAACCAAAAATAAATGTAAAAGCTAAAAAATTCTTTAGGGGTACACAAACTTCTATTGCAACTATTTATATTCTAATTTAAGTTATAAAGCTGTCATTTCTAGCTCACTCCTAGATTTGAAGATCTACAAATCTTCTTACCAACTTTCTTACAAAATTATTTCATAGTCACTTTCTTTTTTAAGCAACAAGAAAATAGTTATTGTCAATGGATCCTTAAAGGTCATGACCGGTCAATCAAATATTCTTATCATTAGATTTCTCATAGCCAAAAATGTTTTAATTTATCCAAGGTATTTAACTATATGTTATCCATTTAAAAATTAACTAAAAACATAGTACACTGTTCCATTTTATCTTTCTTATTTTACCTTTTATAGGAGAGCACGAGGACCATTAGATTTAATGAATAAAAATGATAATATATGTTAACTTTTGGAATCCAATGATGAAGAGAGCTCCATACAACTATAGTATTATCTGTTCTTCTAGAAACTCTTAAATCAGTAAAGAATAAAATATGACTTCAACCATTACGCCTTGGTCATCCATGTCTTGTTGTCTTCAAAATTATTTTTCTTTCGTCATTCAAAGAAATCAATAATAAAGAATTTCTTTGTGATGTTTGTAAACTAGCAAAACACCAAACATGGAAGTTTTCCAAGCACAAGAACCGTTACTTTTTTTTTTATTTATTTATAGTGACATTTGTAGACCACTTCTACACCTAGCATCTATTGGGCTAATTGATTTGCACCTTATTAATAATTGGGCCCATGTCATTAATCTATTTACTAAAATTTTAAAAATGATATCCATCTTCTTGCCCACCTTTTATATCATGCTAAAAAAAAAATAGTGTTAAAATAAAAAGAGTCATATCTGCTAATGCTAAAGACAAATTTTGTCTATTTTTATATAGACCTCTAAGAGATAGTAGTTCACGAGTCCTCTTTTATGCATATACTCTTACATTATTGAGTGGCTAAATGAAAGAAGAATCACATCTGTTATTATGACGGTTCTAATTTTTCAAATGATTGTTCCTAAAATTTATTGAGGGAAGTTATTTTAATGGCCGCTTACAACTGAAATTGATTACTTATAAGGGCTCTTGAGATTAATAATTCTATCTAAATCCTAAATAATTTCTTTTCTCAATTCGACGCCTGCAATAATCTTGTTCTTAAAATATTTGGTAGTGTTTCATTCGTTCATACACATTCTCAAAGTATAGAAAAGCTTGATCCATGTGTAATTAAATGCATCTTCATTAGCTTTCTCTTATACAAAAGGCATACAAATGCTATCATCACCGCAATGAACATGTGTTTCCTAATCTCACTTTTAATAAACGACACTACTTTATTATTGCTTACCCTTAAGAAGAAATAATATTAACAAATCATAAATTAAAATATTTATTCTCTTGGGTTGCCTTCTCTCGCCACTCATTCCATCAAGCAACTCTATCCCAGAATTGAATGCTCTTACCCAAATTGATTATATACATCAGGTTTACTCAAGAGGAAATACATCAATCCCTCAATGTATCTAAGTCAAATCAACCAAGTCAACGGGCATGAGAATTTTTTGAAAGCTCTTTGTGTTTGTTTTCATTAAAAAATTTTTCTTATTAGTTTACATTCTACGTCTATCTCTAAGGCAATCTCTAATGTATTATATAGTGAGAAGGAATAATATTATGAAAGATGAAATGAAAGCTCTTTGAAAATTTAAAACATCGGATTTGGTATAGTTACCATAAGAAATGAAATTATTGGGAAGTAGATGGGTCTTTACTGTAAAGTATAAATTATACGGGTCACTTGAAAAATATAAAGTTAGATTGGTTATTGAAGGCTGCACTCAAATTTATGGATTAATTACATCAAAAGCTTTGATCGATTGCTCAAAGTGAAAACTATTCGGGTTCTTACAATTAACAAGGGCTCGAAAGAAAAAATTTGCTGTTAAGGATTTCTTTCTTCAATAATGATCTAGAGGAGGAAGTTTATATGGAAGTATCATTAGGATTGATTCAACTATGTAACGAAAGATATGTAAGCTAAAGAAACATTGTTGGGGCCGAAGTAATCTCCAAAGCTTGATTTGAAAGATCGTTGAAATAATGCTCAATATGAGCTATGAGTAAAGTCAATGAGACTATTTTATTAGTAAGAACACATCTTTAGAGTATTAGTTTATGTTGATAACATATCGTGAAAAACAATGATGTAAAATGAATGAAAAACTTAAATGAATGGTCTTTAATGAAATTGAAGTCAAATAATAACGCAAGCTATGTTACTATCTGACTCGGGGTTTGAAATTAACCAAGACGGGAACATACGGTCGGGTATTGAAATCTAATTATTTCTATTTTCTATTACTATCAATTTATGATCCAAAAAGTAAATGAAAGAAACACTATAGCAAAAAAAGGAATTAAATTAGAGAAGTTATAAATTTAACTTAGGTCAGGTATTGGGTGTCTTCTATAAATATTTTCTATTCTATTACACATTCTAATCAAAATTATTAACCTTGAAAAGCTAATTTAAAAAAAAAATGTGCTACCTATTTCTAAACTATTGTAATATGATGAAATAAAAATGCATGCTAGTTAAATTTTTATTAAATCAGTATGAGTGCTTTGTTAGTTTATATTTATGAATATGATCGATCAAGGTATTTCAAAATGTTCATTATGTTATATTATATCATTTTCATATCTATATTATTTTATATAAATTCATAACAGGAGCATCGTTTAAAATTATACCATTTAAGGTACATCAATATTAATAACCTTCTTCATTTACGTGCACGGGTACCTTATCATTCTCCTACTAGTACTATAAATGGGTGAACTCCATCATAGCTAAGTATGCACCAACAAGCATACTATATTGTCCATACAATATGTGCTTTTTTCATTCAATTCTGCTTTTAAATTATACATAACATTAATATCTGTAAAATGTTGCAAGTAACAATCAATGAATTCGGTTTAGAAGAACAAAAAATCATCATAGCTTAAAAGGGTATTCACCTTGAATTACTTCATGAAATAATACCTTCAGAATTCTTAAACTTGTTGTTTTGCTTTTAAGTTATGTTTTATATACAACCGTCATAGGAGCACCGTCTAAAATTAAATACTAATAAATACAAATTTTCTTTAATAAATTTATTAAAAATAAACCTGTGCTTTACCTCCTTTTTCTTCTTTTCTTTTGCATAACCACTGATCTCGATCTTTCTTATCCTTTAGTTTAACTGTTTGACAATTTATATCACTAACATTAATTCATAGAATTTTATATAACTTAATAACATTTAATAAGTGAACTAAAATAGCCTACATAAATAAAACACCAAACCCTACCTCTATTGTTGCCAACTTTTCTCGATCCAACCCAAAAATTTTGTGATTTTTTACATTTTGGATATTCTAATTATTATTTCATAAACAATAATTAATTCATTTCAATGAAATATAAAATCCCAAAATAAAAAAAAAGAAATTAACCCTAACCTTAAAAAAACTTCGATCCGGCCTCCCTTCTAAAAAATTTCTATTTTGATGACTTATCTCTCATACTAGTTTTAACTTTCAATTGGATGGGTTAAAAAAAATGGATGGGCTTAATTGTGATTGAAATATACTTTTGGTTAAGAAATGTGAACTTAATTAGCTTTCAAATTATCAAGTCATGTGTTAACTATATAAATGCCAACACTTAATTGGTTTTGTTTATTCTATAGTTCATCCAATTGAATTCACAAAGTTGTCAAAATCCGATCTCCATCATCTATTAGGTTACGCGGTAGTTAGCAATGATTTTGAGTAACATATTGAGCCAACCTAAAATTTTGTTGTAATTCATTACGTGATCGTTTGGTTAGGATTTTTTAATGCAACTAAAATGATGCACTGCATGCAAATCTTATTTGTTAAGTTTAGGATTTGTAACTCACAAATCTCTACTTAAGCCTACAACTTACTTTCATTAAATGAAAATAATAAATACAAAATAAGAAACCGAATGATAATATATTGATTGAATAAATCCAAAGAATTTAATTAAAAATTGAACTTTATAAACTTAGTGAGGAATTATTATTAAAACCACTATCTATCTTGAATGCAATTTGATAATAATACTCTCAGGAATACCTACTAGCAAGAATAGCTTAGGGATATCTACTCTATAACAACAAACCCATTAAGGCGCTACAGTTTTGCATCACTAGGTTTTGCAGAAGCTAGTTACTAGATTATTTTCACATTATGTTATCATACCACTATTTTCTCCACCTGCCCGTGGTTTTAGGTGCCAAACTCTGCATGCTTGCTGACTTGCTTGGTAACTCTGGAACCATTACCGGTGTAGATGTTGCACATCACAGATTGGCAGCTTGCCGCACTATGCTGCAGAAATATGAAATTGGGGATCGATGCCGTCTATTTGTAGCTGATGGAACAACATTTTCCTTTGTACCTGCAAGATCACATACTGATGTGAAAATTTGTAAGGAGTTTGTATTGTTGACTTTCAGCACTTTATGCATTTATGCCAGGCCTGTTTAAAACTTAGCAGGTGCTCCTGATCTTAAGAATGAGGAAGATACATTTAAAGAGTGGACTTCAAAGAGAACATGGAAAGACCGAAAAGATGCAACTAAAAGAAAGACTGCAACCAATGATCTTACTTCACTAGAATGTTCAGAACCTGAGTTGATATTTTATGGTAGATATTCTGGAGTTGTTGGCATGAGCAGGAACAATTTATTTCATACAGTAGATGCTGTTGAGAGTTCAACTTCTGGTTATGATAAGGTAGGATGCGATAATAAATCTGCACTGCAGTGAATTTAGTCATCAATCCATCGGGCACACTATTATCTTTTTGTACTAGCCTTTTACTGCTTGTTCCAAATTCTAGCTAAATCGCGTTTCTTTGAAATATTGCATTTGCATGACTATAACAAAAAGGCCAAAGACGTACAAAACTTTGCCTCAGGGATTTACTAATTGAGATATCTTCTGAAATAAGAGAAAAAAGGGGCATGCTGCTCATTTACATCTTTTAAAACAAAATCACTTCGAAGGGCTGCATGAGGCACAATAGAGTGCAGCTCTATTTCCATCTTTAGCTGTGTTAGAATAAAACTTGTTTAAATTGTAAAAGAAATGCAACGTTTGGGCTGTCATGTTGTTGGGTGACACGGGGCGAGTTTTCAAAATGCATGAGCACATTCAAACCGAACGCGGAAGCCGAATTTTATGTTTTCCTGTGATCATTGAATCGGACACAATGATTTTGTAGGATTGCAAAAAAACATGTGATCGGGGGAGAACCGAGCGTGATATCGTCCAGATTTCACTTATGCACGATTTGTTTTCATTATCTATTTTTTTTTTCTTATTTTTTTAGTTCTAATTAAGGTTTCTTTCAGGGATGAAACTATTTATGCATACATTTGGCTGTTTTTGAGACTTAGTGTTGAGTTTGAGTATTTTGGAGACATGGTTATCTATTTTATGCTCTTCGGAGCGCTGCATCATTTTATTTTGCAATTGGTGTGTTGGTATCTTTTTTCGAGAACTGGTGGCGGAACCCCTTGAGGTCGGCAGCTCGCCGTTTTGTTGTTCGGCCATTGTTTTCAATCCGGAATGCCCCATATTATCATTCCACTGCTATCCCACAACCCTTTTCCCGCAAAAAAAAAAAAAAAAAATCCCTTCTCTAAACACCTTCTTAAAACCCTAAAATGGTGTTATCAGGCTTGCCAAGTTCCTCCATAAATAGACTCTCTGGAATTTTACGACACTCATATTATCCCCCTCTATAATACTGCATTTGCCTTCAATCATCCATGGTCTGATGATGTGCTGGAGTGAAGGTTGAATCTCCACATGTGTGCTGTCCCAATATTAAAGTTGTCCCATGGCCACCACAACGTTCCTCGTCTCATTTTTGATGATGGCTCCAATACTATCCTGGTTTCCATGCAGTGTTATCTTGTTTCTATCTCTTCTATATACATTTAAAGCTGTTTTCATCGGCTATACATATGTCATTACAACTGGTACTTCACACATGGAAGCCAGGATAAGCTTTCCTTTTTGTTAATGCCTAATGGCATATTTCTGTACACTGTTAAGGAAGCTAGGTAAATTGTCAAGTTTAAACAAATACATTAAGATTTGACATGCATAAAATAGTTAAGCAAACGTAGCAATGATTCAGAATTTATTAATCAGTTACCCAGGCATTAATTTTGTAAAGGGAACCTAAAATAACAAATTTGCTTTGCTTTTTTTTTTTTTTGTTATGCAGACTCATGTTTCCATACATTTCCCATCTTAAGCTAATCAATTCTTGACTTCTCCAATCCAATTTCAAGTATTCAACCTGCAATTAGTTTGCTTTTGTTTATTTTCTCTTTTTCATTCACATCCTGACAATTTAAAAATGTTTCACACGTAGCAGTATTTCCATGAACTTAGTCCAGCTTTGCTAGATAGTTGGCCTTGAAATTTAAATATGTTTTGAACAATTCTAGTGACTTAAATTTTGTCTTCACCTTCTAACTGGCCTCAACAGGGAATATTAGTTTTTTATGTAATACCAGCTTAATTTACAAAGCAGTTGTGTGTGTCTAAGCCAACATATTGGCATTCAATATTTTAAATGGATCTTAGTTATTTACCATTTATGTATGGGAAACTTCTTTTAAAGTGGGAAAACCATTTCATTAAAAATTTGTCAGCTGCTAGTAAAATGCACGATCCTTCAAGAGAAGAATTTATGACACACCTACTAGTTAGCTTAATTGAAATTTAGAATATGGCCATAAACATTCAAATTTACATTCAAAATAGTACATTTGTTCTTAAAAACTGTAAAATACTTGTTGCTCTTTAAGATTTATAACACTTTATGTGAACGTATCTATTTGGCAATGAGATGTAGAAAAGGAGAGAAAAAAAGTGGAGTACTTGCTTTATTACGTTGGCTGCAATTTGGCCCTGTAAATAAAGTTATGTAGGTGGAAATTAAAGAAGAAATTAACTCATCTTAGTCAGAATGGAAAATTGAAATGCTACAGCAGATTTAATTGAAGAACTTCTAAATATTTATTGTAAAATTTCATGATATTAGAGCCCACATTGTCCCATGCGAACTGCCTTCCATTTCAGCCCAACTGCAACTTGCCATGTGGGGGAAAAGGTTGGAATTGCCGTCCAGGCAAGCATCACCAGCTAGTATTGCAATTAAAGGAAGATTCGTTTGCTGTCCTTTATTGTGCCTGTCTATGGGCTGGACCTCACCAAACCAACATATTTTTGCGTGCTCAATTTCTATACAGAGAAAACTCCATGTTTGAAATTAATCAGCTTTTACCTTTTCTATTTTTATAAGGCGACAAAAGTTGGAATCCAATAGCCCCCCATGCTCTTTGTAAATACCATAGAAGCCAAGCTCGTCAATCACTTTTTCAACAGGGGTTTTGTCAATTCTCTGGTCAAGATATTAGCAGTTTGATCTGCTCTTGAAATATGCAAATACAAAAACCTGTATTTTCAGTTTTTTATTTTATTTAGCGACCTGCTGATCTATATCCGCACAATCTGTTTGATTTTGATGGCCAGGATTATGTGTTATATGATAACAACTTTATTTGTTACAACATAAGATTATGTGGGACTTGACAATTACCTGAAGTTCTTCCTGAAGTATTTTAAATCAAATTAATTCTTTCATCTTACTAGCTAATGTGATCCCTCATTTAATCTTCCCGAGAGAACTGAAGAGGGGGAGAAGAGGCAACGAATCGGGCAACCGTGGAGGGGGACATGAAGCGAGAGGGTTGGGAATCCAAGGAGGTGCAACTCACTCTATAAATTATCAAACGACTTACCTGTAGAGCCAAGCAACTTGTTTGTGGTGAAGGAATACATGAGGAAAAGAAGAACCCGAAGGAGGCGGAGGCTCGAGTGTGTGGCAAGAGTCACTATGTTGGGTCTAGTTGAGCCCTAGTTGAGGAGGCAACGACGTCGTGCTTCCATGCAGAGGTGGTGGCGTTGGGTTGTGCGATCGATCGAAGGAAGACAGAAGGAATAGGCTGTCGTGCGTGTAGGAAGGTGGCAAAACCATGTGCATGGGGGAGGAAGATGAAGTTGTCACATGGTTTAGGGCTCTCGACCGAGGAATATAAGGTATGTTTTAAGATTCTATTTATTTAAGTAAAATATGTATATTGTAGAAAAGAAAATTAATAATAATAATAATAATAATAATAATAATAATAATAATAATAATAATAATAATAATAATAATAATAATAATAATAATAATAATAATAATAATAATAATAATAATCAGAATTACATAATAATGGGAATTGATACTTAAATAATGTAAATTTAACAGGTAATTAAAATATTTATTAATTAAAGTTTTATAATGTATATATCATGTTTATTTTAGATTTTCAATTTTAAAATAGTGGATGTCAAAACAAATCAAATAATAAATTAATCAAAATCGATGTGAGTATTAATACTTTTAATCTATGACAATATTTTGATTCTTCTCAACTATTTTGAATGTGATGAGCACATAAATGATATGTCTATATTTATTGCTTGTATGTGCATGACTGTCTATGATATCGTCAACTCTTTATGTTGCTAGTGGGAGACGCAAATATACTCGTGCACATAAATGAAAAAAAAAATATTGATATTAAAGTACTTTAATTGATACAATTTTTAGACGGTGTTCTTGTAATGTATAGATATAGAAATGATATATATATATGCTATTATTATGGTAAAACACTTATTAATCATATTCATAAATTATCAAAGGTTTTACGATTTATTAAAAGCTTAACTGACATGCATATTGTTTTCTTTTTTTTATATTATTGTAGTTTAGGAGTATGAGTATTCACTAGCTTTATTTAGCTCACTGTTATTTTACTAATTTTTTAGATTAATTTAGTTGATTACAAAATGAACGATGGAAGTTAAATGTTTATAGAAAACGCAGACAACCTGTAATGCGATAAATTTGATTCTCTTGCATTAATTTAAATTCTTTAGCGGCTATTTCATTTGTTAATAAATAGTTATAGAAAATGAACATAGAAATTTTACCATCCGACCGTCTCTATAGGACTTGGTTAATTCCAAACCCTGAGCTAAGTCGTGGCAGCTAAGCCTCTGAGTATAGCTTCTAGTTTGAACCATGGTCAGCAAAATATTATAGATTTGGGACTTCGGTCAATGGAAGTGATGCCCCTATATGCTTTTGCAATATAGGGTTCTAAGTTAATGTACTATAGCATGCTTGCAGCCCAGACTTCTTAGCTAAAGTATCATCCTATTTTTCTTTAATAATTGGAATCTTTAACATATCTCTCTTTGTTTTAATTTTTTAGCCATGTTATATGTAATAAATGATATGCCACTATTAAATTTTGGTCTTGATTTTGCTTTATTTTTTTTAAGCGTTACGAGTTAATAGTATTTGGTTATTGTATATCTTGATTCCTGAAAACTAAATTGTGCTTTATTTGTCTATGTAATAAGATGAGGATGGATAGAGTTAGAATGTAAAAGAAATTTGTTGATATGATGCTTAGGATTAGTGAAACATATAATGCATTTGTTATATATAGTTTTTGTAGATGTGAAATAAATCATCAATCAATAATGTTAGAAGATTGGGCTATTAATAGACTTAGATGCACTTGATTTAAGCATCGTAGATCTTTTATAATGAACAAATACCTCTTGTTGAAATGAAAATTTGCTTTCATATTTTGCTTCTTTTAGTCGAATAAGTTAAATAAATTTAAATGTAACAATTATGAGTTTGGATGGATATGTTGCAATTCTAAATTCTGTCAGACCAGACAGTTAGAAGTCTTGAACTACTTTTGCTGGTTACTTGCATAATTATCATCAATTAATATCAAATGTTTGCATATTCAGATGCTTATTGAGTGTGTTATAGTTACTTGCGTTTTGATACTACTTTTAGAGCCTTGTTTGCTTTTTCAATCTAAAACTTTCCTGTCAGATAATACAGAAGTCATTGCTAAACATTCATATTTGAAACTCTTAGGTGCTTGTGGACGCAGAATGCACACATGATGGATCAGTTAAGCACATTCAAAAGTTTGATTATTGGGGATGGCCTACTTTCCAACGCAGGGTACTTGATGCAAAACGAACACAAAATTTGACAACTCTTCAAGTATTGTTCTCTCAAATTCTAAGTTGGATTTGTTTGTTATGAGAAACCGTGCATGCCTTATAGGTCTAATAAGTTCAATGTGATATTTTGACGTGATCAATTTAATAATCATAGTATCATATTTCTCAAATTTAGTCTCGCAATTATACAAAATTGATAAAGAATGATCTCTTAGAGACTTAATTGGTATAATTTTATAAATTTGGGAGACTAATTGGGATTAATTTTGTATTAGTATTTCTTGAGAGGTCATTTTGAATTAATTGATGTAGTCGAGAAACCAAATAGGGAAATTAGAATACTTTGATATTAAATTGGCCGCGAATAATCATGGGATTATTTTGTGATTTAGTTCGACACACACACACACACACATGTAAGAGCAAAATTTTCAGAATGTAGATTAGATTATACACAAAATAATACTCATAAATTTTCTTCTTATTTGAGAGGTTTTAAGTTCTAGTTCTATTATCTTAATTAGGCAGAAGACATTATATTTAATTAGCCACTTTAGTGACGAAAGAACTTTTGATTAAGGCTATCTTGATTAACTCCAATTTACTTAATCAAATGAAATAGTCGACATAATTTGACTGAAGGTTTTTGGTTGGTTTGCGTTATTCAAGATGACTTTGACTTTGGGGTGGACATTTGTCTAAAAGGATAAGTTATAAGTTAATTTTAGTTAACAATAGGTTCTGTGGTTATATTATGTCCTCTTGCATGCGTTAATTTGCGGATTTACTTGCAATTTTTCGGGGCTTTAATATTTTAGTTTGCAACAGGGAAATTTTGTGCTCATAGGCGAGCATTCATGATTATTTTTAAGTCCTCTGTATGAATAATTTTGTGTTCACTTTATTGTTCAATTTTTGTTCTTTCTATTTGTGGTGACTTGTATGTCATTTCTAATGTTCATTAATGTCATTAACACCATTCTAGGATTCCTAGATGTAAAGGATCGATACATGTGTTGGAAAAGTTGTAGAATTGTAAGAAGAGAAGACTGAAAAAATGACACGCATTGGAGGGGGAAAATCAGTTATGGCTGCTGTCCAGGAGGAAAACAGCAGGAAACATAACAATGTGACATTATCGACAAGTCACAAACATCAAGGAACAAAATTTTTTAACTCTTAACTTTATTAAAACTTTACTCTTTAGCCCTAACTTCATGCAGGCGTCCCTTTTTTCTTTGTCGCACATGGCTTCGATCCTCAACGCTGGCTCAACTTCCTCGCATTAGTTTTCTCAATCGTTGCCTTCTTCTTCTCTGCGGAAAAGCTCAGCTTCCTCCACACGAATTCAGCCCGCGGCTTCTTCCCCTTTTTCTCTACCATTGTGTTCATATTCATGGCATTTGAAACACTTCTTGGTTGGAAAAATCTCGGGAGTACTAGTCAGATCAATCTTTTCTTCTTCTCATGCTGACTTTTCCTCACATGGGGAAGGTTTTGGCTCTCTGATTGATGTACTTTTGCTGTCGGACCCTATGATTGAACCTTATTTTAGGATTAAGTTGATTTGATGCTATCATGCTACTTCTCTATTTATTGGGCTAAGGCCTGTTTATCTTGAAAGGTCTAGTAAGGTTGTAATTGAACTACATTTCTTATAAAATGTCTCAATTCTATAAGATATCAATATATGGTGTTTTTTTTCTAGTTCTATTAACTCACATTTTAACATGACTTTTTCAAACTTAGCGATATACTTATCTATTATAAGTCCAGTTATAAATGTTTAAGTTTTGAAAAGATATCCTATTTTTAGGGTGCTATGAGAGACTCATACTGCACTTTTTTTTTCATTTTGAACTAATTCATGGCGTTTTTTTTTTCACTCTAGCGTAGGCCCTTCGTGTAACAGTCAATTTAGCCTTTATGTTTGGTGGAATTTCTTTGTACTCAATGATTAGTTTCACAGTTTTGAGTCACTCAATAAACTCCTCTAGATTTATATGCTCATCAAATCTAGTAAATCAAACTTCACCTTAAAATTACTCTCCCTTCTTTTGTACTCAATGCTAAATTTGGCACGACATTGGCTTTTCGTCACTCGAGGTTTCTTGGTGGAAGAGGTTTGACACGAAAGCTTCTCTCAATGACTCCAGCAGTGCTACATTAATACATGAGCAATTTTACGATTCTAGCTACAGTAGTGCTACGTTAATGCTAACGTAAAAAGTCGTAGGAGCCGATCCCACGATTTCTCTCGTCTAGACCGAACCAGACTCTAAAGGGTTGACTTGCTTACTCACAGTGGTTTGGCGCCTTCTATCCACAGGGGGATCCAATCCTAAGTATCTTGGGCTTTTTTATGTGATTCCTTGTTTGAGGCTTTTAGTTTTTCTTGTGTTTTGTTTAGGACAGCTGGCGACATCCGTTCTTCTCCCTTCAGGGGTTGTATTTGAGGGATTGGGTGGTGCTCCGACATTATCTCTCTCTCTCTCTCGAGGCGGTGCTTGTCCCCTATCCCCTTTCGTATCTTTTGACATCACTCCTGACTGCTCCATCCCTGTTGTTGCCGCTAGGAAAAACTTTCTTGTAGTTTCTTCCTGCCATTTTCTAACTTCAAGCCACCGCCAGCTGCTTTTTTGTTTGTTGAAGCCATCTAGGACAACAAGGAGTGCTGTCTTTGCCTTTTCCTGCCCTCCCCGCCACCCTGCCTTCGCTTTCGACTAGCCACCGCCTCTAAATTTGGTCTCACTTATTTAAAAATTAAAATGTTACTTCTTTAAAAAAAAAAGTTATATTTATATTTAAATTATTTTCAAAATCACAAAATCATCACTTTTTCAAACTACGAAAGTCAAGTTGAACATAAAAACGGCCGACACCTGCGTCCTACCCCTTCCCACGTTCTACCACCTTCCAAAATTTGTCTCCCTCGCTGCTGCGACCATTCCAGCCACCCTTACCATCCTCCACTACGTAGCTGCTGTCCCAATTGTTCTTCGTACTGTCTTCACTGTTCCAGCCGTCCAAATCCGTCCCTTGTGCTAATTTGTTGCTATTTCATCCCCCAACAGGCCTTACCTCAACTCATCCACCTTATAGAAACCTTACCTACTCATTCCGGCCTACTTTATCGCCCTCCACCACCCTTAGGATACAATTTAGTTATTTTTGTTTGTTTTTGTTGTTGCATTTCCCTTTCAGCGTGTGAGTTGTAACTGCTTATTAGCCTTTTGGTAATAATATTTGCTTACTTATTGTGGTTTTGGTTAACTCCGGTATCAAGGTTCTTCTTATAGTCTGATTACCATTATGACTTTGTGTCACCTCAATGTGTTGTCTTTCTTCAAAATTAGTAAGTACTGTAGTCATCATTATTTTGGTTAAGGTTGATTTTGGATCTAGGGTTGGCTGAAAATTTAGGTTTAGGTTGGGGATGTATGTATGGTTTTTGGTGGTGATACAAATGTGAAGTAGATTTATGGGTATGAATAAAAAATTAGATCTATAAATAGATCTAGAATTATGGTTGAAAATTTGGCATTGATATCAAATTCTACTGTTGGGTTTTTAGAATGTGCAAGAGGATTGATATACATGTTGGGAATATTGTGGAGTTGTAAGAAGATAAGAACACGAGAGAACCGCGTGGATTGGGAAGTGGAAAATTAGTTTGTACTGTTGTCAAGGAGGAAAATAGTAGGAAATACAGCGATGTGGTGTTATTGGCTATAGCTTGCGGGGCACACATAGAGTTGTGGGTATTGGTAGGAGTGAGCAGAGGCAGAGTGGGGCATGCAACAGGGCAACACGAGCATGGTGTTGTGGCTGCACGTGCTAGTGAGTGCCCAAGCTGTGGCCTGCTGGCAGTGGCGGGGCTACTACTATTTGTAAACCAAGGAGCATGAGAGAGAGAGCGCGTGAGGAAAATTGTGTGGGCCATGGGTTTTTACTTCTATTCTATTTTATTTTTTCTTTCAAAAAAAAAAAAGTGTGTTATGTCCCTCACACTTTTTGCCGGGGCTTGAGTATGGGGCAAGAGGGGGAAGCGTGCGCATGGGCTGTTGGGTACATGATTTTATTTTATTTTTTTGATAGGTCAACAGTGAGTTGTTGTCGCTTAATGGCTTTGAGCATCAATGCATCTTTGTTGAAAGCTTGGCTTAATGACTGAAATGAAATTCATCATTTATACTGCACAATAATACTTTGTCATTTGCAGCTGGCACTACTGACAAATGGCTTCAGATTATTAAAAGTTGGAGGCTCACTCGTATACAGCACATGTAGGTAGGTATCTTGTGAGTTCCTATAATCCGGGGCATTGCATATTTATATTGCAGTTCGATATGTTATCTGCAATGTATGTATTCTGTCATTCCATGTTATTCAACTTGAAACAAGCATCCCTTGCCCCCATTATTTTTCCCACTTAAAACGTTTTGAAGTTCTGTATAGCATGGTTTGTTGGAGAAATATTCAAGGGGTTGCTGATTTTCATTTCATTCTTCTTTCTTAGCTTAACAGTTTCACAGAATGAGGCTGTGGTCGAGCAGTTCCTTTCCAGAAATCCCAAAGCTGGTATGTTGACTTTCTTTTTGTTTTTTTAGTATGAAGTTTTAGTTCACTATGGAAGCATAAACTTTATTGAGGTTTTATTCACTCTACAGTAGGTTCTGCATCAGTTGGTCTGAAAGCCATTTAAAGAACATAACCTTGTTTGTGTTCATCTCTGCAATTATGTAATAACCGTATCAACCTATCAATTGTTTTTAGGCCATATTATATGAAAAATCTATTCTTGTTTTTGTTTCACGATCTATTTCATTCACTCTATAGGTAGGGTTTAGTTCTGTTTTTTTCTTTCCAGATATCTACCTCTAGGCATCTCCCCTTGGTAGGGCTGTATCCAAAGATATGTGGTGCTTCAGCCGCATCCTGCTCTATGATGGTAATTATCTCATCGATTCCCTCCACTCCTCCCCTTTTTCTTATTCCGGCCTCTGGCCATCCTCTTTTCTCCTTTTTGTTTCAGCTGCCGGTCACCCTTGCCCTTCTTCCTGTTCCAGCCACCGGCCTACTACCCTCCTTTCCTCCTATTTTCAGCTGCCCGCCCTGCTGCCTACGTACCTCCTGTTTCCTGCTGCAGACCTCCCCCCACCTCTCTTCCTATTCCCTAGCCGCTGGCCACCCTTCCCCTTCCCCTTCCCCTTCCCTGTACCTAGCCGCTGCCACTTGTTCCTTCACCTTTCCTGTACTTAGCCACCCGTCACTTGTTCCTTACCGTTCCTTGTTTCAGCTGTCAGCCACCGCGCCATCACCACCGCTGTTCCCGGATATTCCTTCTCGACCCTAGTTGGATATTGACGTTGTTGTGTTTTCTGTTTCTGTTTGAGTCGTACTTGTAACCCGATCTAATTTTAGTAGTAATATTTGCTTGTGGTTTGGATTAAATTCGATACCATTTCGTATTAGAGCTAGCTTAACCTTAGTCCGATTCTAGGATTTCTTAGCATTCTCCTTATCCTCCCACCAAAATTTTTTCTTTCCTATCCTCAATCACCCCTTCAATCCCAAACTCTAATCATGCTACCACGAAGATACATGCTGGAATATTCTTGGGATGAGATATAGCGGGAGATCCTTCGATTTCAACAGAGGCTTTTCTTTCCTATCCTCAATCACCCCTTCAATCCCAAATTCTAATCATGCTACCACGAAGATACATGCTGGAACATTCTTGGGATGAGATATAGCGGACAGAGGCTCGGCTTGCGAAGATTGATATGGAACCTATGGAGAGATTACCCTCAACTGCAATATCGAGAGTCGAAGGGGAGATAAGGACGACGATCTAAATTCATTCCATAGGGAAGGCGTCAGTGACGAGGAATACATACCCTGTTGCTTCGGGAATTAGTATCAGAAGATGCCGATAGAGGAGCCCACATGTAGAGGATATGGGGATTTCAACTTCAAGATGGATTTGCCATAGTTCAATGGAGGTATGGGTACAAATGACTTTATTGACTGAGTGTAATCTATTGAGCAAATCTTCGATATGAAGAAGTGTCAGGGGATAACAGGTACAATTAACAATCATCAAATTGAAGAACAATCCGTCATAGTGGTGGGAAAACTTGCAAAGGCAGAGGAAGAGGGAAGAAATTGATAAGATTACCAAGTGAGAAAAGATGAGGAAAGAGATGCAAAGGAAATACCTTCCAGCTCATTACCGCCATGATATGTTTTTGAGACTACAACCACCTGCAGCGGAAGTCCTATCAGTGGAGGAGTTCACGACACATTTTGATCAGTTGCAGATAAAGTGTGAGTTGGTCGAGCCAGAGGAACACATCATAGCACATTACCTGGGGGTTCTGAAGCCCGCTATTAGCAATGTTGTGCAGTTACAATCATATTAGTCATTGGGGGATGTCCAAATCTTAGCCTAGAAGATGGAAAAACAACAGAAACAGAGCAAAAGACAATCCTTATTAGACAAAGTATTCAGTCAGGTGGTCACCTACAACTACAACGACCGACAATGGTACCTCTGGAGGAGTTGGCAAGAGAAAATCGGGGAGTGATAAAACAAATATGAGTGGAAAGAAGCCAGAAAAAGGTAGCTCGCCCAATACAGTGCCTGCCAGGAGGTGTTTCAGATGCCATAGTTATGGACACAGTCTCACGCGCCGAGTTGTTTCATTCACAGATCAGAACTTCGTTGAGGAATTGGAGGGATTGGAATCAAAGGATAGTTCAGAGGGAGGGAAGTTAGTCAGACGAAGAGTTCTGCAGTCAGAGCCGAAGTGAGTACCACCTAATTTGGATGAGACCAAGGGACTAGTGGAAGATTGCTTTCAAGACACGAGATGGCTTGTACGAGTGAATCTTTATGCCCTTCAAATTGTCAAACCCTCCCAACACTTTTATGAGGCTGATGAATCAAATGTTTCAGGTCCACATTGGGAAATTTGTGGTGGTGTACTTCGATGATATTCTGGTATACACTCGATCCGAGGAGGAACACTTACAACACTTGAAGGCAATATTCGAGGTGTTACAAGCAAAAAAGTTATATGCTCATCCAAAGAAGTGTTACTTTATGACAACCCAGGCTTATTTTTTGGGTTATATCGTGTCTAGTGCAAGCATTAAGATGAACCATACAAAGTCAAGGTAATTGTGAGCTGGACCACGCCACATTATTTCACCAATTTGTCACTGTTTTGGGACTAGTATCATTTTGCAGGCGATTCATTTGGAGCTTCAGTATCAACTTCGCTACCTTGACCGAGCTTTTGAAGGGAGAGAAATTCCAGGGATAGATGCAAATTAGAATAGCTTTGACGCACTGAAGGAGAATATGACCTAAGCACCAGTCTTGGCATTACCAGATTTTAATCAACTGTTCGATATAGAATGTGATGCCTCCTATGAGATTTCTCGAGCAATGAAGCCATTACTTATTGATGGGCGAGTTAAAGTTGTTCACGAACCACACGGCCTTGAATTTCTTAAACAACTAAAGTAAACTGAAGGGCTAACACACAACTTGGGTGGAGTCTTTATCGTAGTTCCAGTTCGTGTTTAAACACAAGGTGGGGAATCAGAACCGTGTAGTAGATGCACTGAGCCGCCGTATTACAGAGCTGAGGATTACTTGTTCAACTAGAGTAAATTATGCATTTCTAGATTTTCATTGAGGGAGTCCATTGTTCAGGAAAGCCATAGTGGAGGACTTAAACATGATATTTTGGCTGGTACAAGACTTTCATATTCGCGAAAGAATACTTATTTTTGCCCCGACTAGTGAGAGATGTGGAGCGGACGTTGGGAAATGCTGGATTTGTCATGCAGTAAAAACCAGGGGACATAATACAACTTTATACCCCATTACTAGTACCAGAGGCATCGTGGGTGAATGTTGTTATAGATTTTGCAGTGGGTCTTTCGAGGACACAACATAATGATTCAGTTATGGTCGCGGGGGATCAATTCTTGAAGATGACACATTTCGTACCCTGCCACTGAGCATTGGATGCATCTCATGTCGTTGACTTGTACTAAAAGGAGATTATGAAGTTGCACGGGATGCCTAGGACCTTCACCGCAGATAGAGATGTCAAGTTCTCGAGTGAATTCTGGAGAATTTTGTGGGGAAAGCTAGGCATTAAGCTTCATATTTTCTTTCTTCCCTTCGACCTTCCACATCACGGTCTAGTGTATCCTCCCACTTGATTTTCTTTTCAATATTCATAAGCCTCAGTTGTAGGCAACGGAGCTCTCGCCGTATTTCTTCCCGAGTAGGCTCAGACATGTTTCTCATTGATGACATCTTTTTGACGGTTTCAGATCCTCAGAAAGAAAGAAAAGAAGGAATAAAGAAAGAAAGAAAAAAAATTTTTGTGTGGTTGATGGGACTCAGAAAGAAAGAAAAGAAGGAATAAAGAAAGAAAAAAAAAATTTTGTGTGGTTGATGGGGTTGATGGGATAGGGGCGGACGCTAGAAACCCTAGGATGGGAGTACGGTTAGGCTAGCTCTGATACCAAATGATATCAGAGTTAATCCAAACCAAGATGCACGACACAAGATTAATGAGGGAGGCCAGGCGGTGGTGCAATCCTGGTGATTGCGGTGAAGGTCGGAGAGGTGGCCCATTGCTATGGAAGGGATGAGCAGCAAATCAACGAGGATGAAAGCGTCGAACCGCAGCTAGAGGTAGAGAGCGTTATCGACGGCTGAAATCCGATGGGGAAGAAGATTGAGGCCTACTATAGTAGGGTGGAGGGGCTGCAAATTGCTAGAAGGAAGATGACAGCCTGTTGAAGGCAGGAAAGTAGAGGACAATGGTCTGCTAGATGTAGGAGGAAGCTAGGCCGCGGTCTGCACGGGTGCAGGGCGGCGTCTGAGTTGGTTCAGCACCGGCTGCTGGGTAGAGGGTAGGAGTAGCGGTGGCCTGCTGTAGCGCTGGGAGGTGGGTTGACAGCAGCAGGAAAGTAGAGGACAGCGGCCTGTGGGATGCAGGAGGAAGCTGGGCAGCGGTTTGCAGGGGTGCAGGGAGGAGTTTGAGGTGGTCCGATAGATTGGGAAGCAGCCGATGGGTGTTGGGTAGAGGGCAGGAGCTATTGTAGGGTTGGGAGGTGGGTTGTCAGCTGCAGGTTGGGTGGAAGGACAAATAAGTATTTCGACGGGGTCGAGCTACAGCCACTACTCAGACCCGTGGAATCGACACCACCTCGGACAAAAGGCAGCCGGAGCACTACCTCGGCATTGGATACAACCCTCGAAGGGAAAAATCAAGGCTAAAATCTGAATTCAAATATAAAAAACAAGACCCGTAACTCTAAGCACTTGATTCCATATTTATAAAGAGGCTAGACTTATTTTAGGTAATGAAAATAAGGAAGGAAAATAAAATATAACAGGAGAATAAAATATAACAGGTTTTTAGATTTTAATAAATAATTTAAAATAGGAAATGATTTAAAATAAGAAAGAATTTAAAATACGAAGGGAGAATAAAATATAATTATGATTTCAGATTTTAGAAAAGATTTAAAATATATAAGTGCTTAGGAAAGAAAGGTTGAGGGGGAGAGAAAGGAAAGGTGGGGAAGGAAGGAGGTGGGAGAAAAGAAAAGAGGAAAGGAAGACAAAAGGGAATGAGGGAATGGAAGAAGGGGAAGGAGGGGGCGGCAGACCCCCTCCCTTGAGGACCGTCCGATCTTTCCTTGAGCCTTGTGTAAGTGAGTTTTAATATTTAGATGCAAACTTTTTAATTAAATTATCTTGAATTTAATTTTTATAATTTCACTGTAATAATATTAAATTAATGTAATTCATTGATGTAAAATTTTAATGTGATTCACTCGAATAATTTTAAATTAATGTAATTCACTAATGTCAACTTTAATGTGAGTTTTTTTCAGAGCTAGGATCAAATAGTTTCAAGCACTTAGGTGACTTTTGGGATAACCTTTAATTTTTTGTTTTTATTTTTTATTTTAAGTTTTAATTTTTATTTTTAATATTTTGAATTGAAATAAAATGTTTGATATTGTAAAAGTATGTTTTTTTTTTGGTTTTTATTGAATTTCAAATTAGTTAATTTTTGTGGTCGTGTTTTGGTGGTGGTGGTCACTAGCAGGGAAGCACCACTGGATTATGAGGTGATGAAAGCTGCGGTGGTTGATGGCAGCAATGGTAACAACAGAGGTTGCGATGGTGCTAGTGGCAAGTGATTGTGATATTTAGACTTAAAAACATTCAAAACATCTCAAATCTGTTTCGAGTGTTTTTAAAAATAATTTGATTTGTTTTGAAAAAGTACTTAAAAATACACCAAATAACATATTTCTTAAAAATATAATAGAAATAAAAACAAAAGTAATCCCAAATAGATTTTTAATTTGACAAATAGGCACTTGGAGATTTCAACATGATTTTTATGCTTATGGTTCTCAAAATCCGAATAACTCATTGTGTTGCCGTTTTTAGCATACCAAACGGTGTATTCTTACCTGTAGCTTCAAGAAGTTTGAATTTCTACATACAGTAGGATGCTACAAGCAGATTTTTTTTTTTTTTTGTGCCTGCGTAGGGTTTCATAGAGTTTGACTTTAGCTTATTGTTACACGATTTTCTTGTGTAGAGCTAATGAAGGTTGATTCTGCTAAGATGTGGCGCTGTAGGAGTGGAGGAATTCTCCAAACCGTGCGATTTGATCCTAAAACATCCCAAACCAGTGGGTTATTTATTGCAAAATTCAGAAAAATAGCAGCGTAGTCAAGGTTTGGTTTGTAATTGCCAATTCAATCCTTGTCAGATCGATAATTTTTCTGATAGATGAGTTTAATGATCTGTTAATTTTTTTTCGTACTTCTCTAATGATGAAAAAAAATTGCTTACTACTACTGTTGGAACTTAAATTGTTTAAATCATGATAAAATTACTTTTAACATTGCATTGGCTGGAATATCTTGTAGAGCCATCTTTTCTCTTGCAGGTATTTTTATGAAACTAAAAATATATTGGTAATGGGGGAAATATTGAGCAAGAACAGTCAAAGAAAGTAATCCTAGATAGCAAAAAAAAATTATCAGAAAAAGACGAGATGCACTAATCAAATAAAAGATACAATATACAAGAGGTTTCTTCTCACAAGCAATCGGGATACAAAAATCACCATTAAATAGTTGATCAAGGAAAGTGATCCGGGATGTCATCACCAACAACGAAGGGATATAGTTGCCATCACCCAACGCCGTGGATACAGACTCATCCCCCTCTGGAAACCGAAAAGAGGGCATACGCCCTCACAAATGTCAAATGACCAAAAGACCTCTAATATGATAAATGAACACATGGTTATAATCAACAAATAATATAAACCTAATAAAAGCAAACAAACAAAAATATTCTTACTGCTAATAGGAGTTGGTGATAACCCTAGTCCTAGAGAGAAAGCCCACTATCCCTTCCCACTTGGAACAAACTGGTTTAGGGTCCTTTCCCTATCCCACATTAATCTATGGGGGTTGGTAGATCTTCGACCTCATCTGTCGAAGCTTCTAACTCTTTATGATGTGACATTAAGGTCGACCATGTTGGAAGTGGCGAAGCTAGTGTAATCTCCCGGGATGAGAGGGATTTCTACTTCGGACACTTGTTTCCTCATTGTCATTGCTAGAAGAAATGTGTAGGGTTGCTGATTTTGAAAATGAGTAAGGGAAAATTATGGTTAGGTCAAGATTTGGCTATGGTTTAGTGGGTTTAGGTTTAGGGGGTGAATGAAGGTGTATGAGACCGATTTATGGTGCTAAAAAAATATTTAGGGTTGCAGATTTTGAAACAGGAGGAACAAGATTTGAAAATATTTAGGGTTGCAGATTTTGAAACAGGAGGAATTAGGGTAGGGTCAAGATTTGGCAATAATTTGGTGGGTTTAGGTTTGAGAGGTAAAAGAAGGTGCATGGGGCTAATTTAGGGTGCAAAAAGAAAATTTCTGGTTGTTAATTTTGAAAATCTGTAGGGGAATTAGGGTTATGTCAAGATTTGGCTATGGTTTGTTGGGTTTAGGTTTGAGAGGATTTTTGTAACCCTAGGGCTATGGTAGCTCTAATGCCAAATGATATCAGAGAAGTTGTTTGGAGAAGATTCAACAAGAACATCTAAGAAAACAATCTGAGACAAGACAAAAAGCGATTAGAACAAAGACGAGATATACTGATAAAATAAAAGACACGAATTCCCTACTCTCACAACGATCTGGATATAAAAATCACCACCCAAAGGATTGACGAATGGAGTCTCAGGATGTCACCATCAACAATGGAGGGATACAGTTGTCACCGCCCGACGCTGTGAATACAGACTCATCCCCATTTGGGAACCAATAAGTGAGCACATGCCCTCACAAAATTTAAATGAACAAAAGACCCCTAATACAAGAAACAATCACATATTTATAATCAACTAAAGACCTGAACCTAAGAGCTATAAGATGAAAATATCCTTGTTGATATTAGGAGTAGATGACAACCGTTTCCCGAGAGAGAGGGCTGATCAGCCCTACCCCCCTTCCCCGCCCCACATCCTATTTATTCGTGAGAAGCATATAAAGTGGATATTGAGGTGAGCATTATGAGTGCATAATGAATCCTATTGTGAACGGTCTGTCATCCAGTGTTTTAATCGTCTCATGTGATTTGATTTAATTATGGAAGTCGTTTAGGTCAGCCCTTAGATTTCTTATTTACATTGTTTCCATTTCTTTATTTCAGTTCCTTAAGAAGATTGTTAATTGAAAAGATTTCAATAACAATTATCTCTATTTAACTAGCGGTTTGTCTATTGCTTGATAAAGATATTATGGTAAAAAATGTCACTTTAAGGGAAGCTCGGCTTTTGCATCCATGTCCCACCTTTGAGGGATTTTTTTTCTTAGAAGTTCTATGTGGGTGGTATTGTAGGAAATTTTGGACATGATAAAAATGAGTTTATGATTGAAGAAGGTTAAGTATTGCCAACTAATTAAAGGAAAGGCATAATGTTGAGAAATATATATTATTCGTCAGTCCATGTAAACTCTGGGATGATATTAGTATTGATTTTGTTCTTGGATTATCAAAAATTCCTTTCAATTATGGTTTTGTTTTATAATGGTCGATTGTTTTTAAAATGTTGATGCATTTCATTTATAAAATCATATTTTAATAAAATGATTAAAAGTGGGCAATTGTGTATAAACCAACCGAAACTTGCTATTTACAAATCAATTTTCTTTTTTCATCCATTCTTCAAATTCTCACTTAAAATATCAAAATTCATGATAAAACCTTAATCCATATTTCTCTTTTTTATCGGATTCTCGATAATTTGATTATGGCATGCGAAAATAAATCGGCTCGGTAGTTCAAAAAAATCATTTGGGCGGTTAATTTGTAAATGTCAATGTTTCTGGTGATTTGTGTGTAATTATCCCTAATTAAAATTATAGTGTCTCATAGAAATATAGTATTTGCGAAAAGAATTTGAATATAGCTAAAACTCTAGATTGTTCATCACTCATACATTAATAATTTAATTGTTTGAGTTAAAATTCTAAGCGAGTTGTTAAGCCGCTAGTGTTTAGAAATTGCATTTTGATAGGATTAGTTTTTAGTATGGTTATGTTTAAACATTATTTATTTGTTAAGTCATGAGCTCATTTTAAATTGTTATGGGATATCATATTGGAGAATCTATAGATTTTGTTTAACTTTTTACTAAGTCTAGGCGAGTTATTTACTTGATTATTTGCAAATCATATATATACACACGCGCATCTAATGATATTTACACTGATTTATTTATCGAATATAACAATTATAAGCATGATTTGGTGTGAACATTAACAATGGAAATTAAATTTGGTGGTAAGATAATGGGGTGCTTGAATCATGAACAATTTTTTATGGGGAGTTCTAAGAATATACAAGGCTTTTTACTATGTAATGTGCTCATAAACATAAAATTTAAGAAGCATTGATATTATTGTAGTCTTCAAATGCATATGATTTGATTTTTTTTTATGGCCTTATGATTAGTATCTTGTTTTTTTCAATCTTCTTTTCAATCTCATCAAAGAGATCTACTAAATTTGTCCCTAGACCTATTATAGGTGTTGAGATTGTGTTCATTATTGATGATGAATATCAAAGGATCGTAGGCATTGGTATAATTAATTCTCTTATTATGATTCATTGATTGCGTTGGATAAAGTCTAGTTGTTATGCCCAAACTTACGTTAAATACCAAAATTTTATTTAATCTAAATTGATGTTAAAGACATACAAACTTTATGGAAATTTAAAAATGTATACTCAAGGAAGCACAAAAGATGAATATTGACATGAGCATTAGTGATTATGGGTTTTCAGAAGCATTGGTTTATTTCATTTTGTTAGAAGTATGCCCAGTGATAATGATCTTAATTAGGGTTGTTTTTTTTCTGTAGAAAATTGATTATCTAATAGGCTTTGTTTACTCTACAAATCAATTTGGTGCAACTCTTTTGTTTCAAATTGAATTCTTCAGTATGTAATCATCTCCCATTTGGAAGTTCATTGTTGGCCATTGTTATCAGCATTTTGCTATGAAAGTGATGGTTGTTGTTTTCCCTTTCAGTGGAGCCCTAGTTTGGGTACTATATGTCATGACCCCATTGGCTCTCCCTTATAGGGTCAATCGCGATACGAAAGATACGTACGATTCAGTCAGACTAAATTCTCATTAGCACTCGTCCTGACTTACAGAATTAGAATCCAGTTGGTGATGAATTAGTCAACTAATATTTGATACATTTTATTCTATAATTTATTCATATGCATATAGTATGAAGCGTGGAAATCATATCATCAAAACATATGTATTTATACAGAATTTCTAAATCCAAGATAAATAAAATACATACCCAAAAGTCTGTAGAAGTTCTCAAAATTATGAAATGCAAAAGTTGTATAAGTCATATGTAGCTATTCGCTCCAGTGCTCCTTACCTTCTTAAAAGTTAATAACGTAGAGTGAACAACAAAGAGCTCAACGAAATAATCAAGACTAAAAGAAGATTTTATAGAAAAAAATGAAACACATCCATGCTCGTATGTAATCATGTAAATGTCCACATAACATGACACAATATGCTATAAACTTATAAAATATGAAAAGAAAGGACATATAATGCAAGGAATCATGATTGTCGTATAAAATATATATTTAATCCATTCATGTATAATTATAAGCATATTCATAAGAGTCATAAATCTAATCATAGAAATGCCATTTGTAATTTTATATCTTAATTATTTTTATGTCATGTCATATCCTTGGTTCATCACCCAACATGAATGTCACATTAATTATTGATGAAGGTCGGGACACCTAATATAGCAGTCATCAATAGTCTCCTGACATCAACGGTTCCATACGTTTTGTTGTTGCTTGATCCCAACGGTTTCCGGAGTTTCGTCACTGTCTGAATATCGAGGGTCGGAAATTTCATCGTTTCATATCATCCAAACTTGCAAATATTCATGTATAGTTTATCTATAACATCATATGTGATATTTTTTAAAGCATAATTCTTATAACAAGCATTCATCATGGGCATTTCACATAACATACGCATTAATCATAACAAATGAATGCCTGCACACAATGATTTCATAAGCATGTTCATCAAATTTGTACATATTAATTTTATAGGTATAGTAAATGACAATAAATTTGCATTCATACACAATGCAGATATTAATTCACAATATGCATGAAATTATACATGCAAGTGTCTTTTTCTTGATATTATAGGTATCGTAAATGACATAATCACGTGAGCTTACAGTGTTAATTTTTATAAATTAACACATGATTTTTTCACCTTAATTGATGGAGCAGCTCTACGACGAGTTTTCTTAAGCTCGCCTCGAGCACGCCGCCTAGTGGAGACAACTTGAAAATTGTAAACATCTTGGATTTCATGAAATCTTGGCTCATCTCGTGATTTAGCTCAAAACATAATTCATTTACGATTTCTTATTACAAAAGAGTTTCTCAGCGTAACCAACCATCTTATATACTTCTTATTATTCTTCCCTCTTCCTCCTATCACCTTAATTTTTTCTTTTACTTCGTTGATTTCGTGCTAATAACCCTTACGGAAACCCATAGACCAAAACCAGTTTCATCATTTTCGATGCAAATTCGTCTCCCTCTACGACTACCTGAAAGGAAAAGTGCATTGCTTAGTGACATACGTCAAAACGTAAGTGTTAGGGAAAGGAATGTTTGGAATAGTGTGAAAGAGAGTTGCCTACTCACTAATTTCTTCCCGGGACTCTGTAATGCCGTTTTTGGTATCTTCGGGTCGCAGGACTGTGTCGTTCGGGTTTAATACTTGTTATGATTAATTAAGTTTAATTAAACTTATAACTTCTTAATTTTATATATTCTCATGTGTTAAAAATTCATGCATATTGCTAATAGATCAAATTGATCGATAATCTTATAAATTACTTCTATGTGAATTTTGGGATGCATTTTAAAGTTAAAATTTTATTTGGCTTTTCAAATTTTGGGTGCAACACTATACCTTGGCGGGTGTTTCTACTCGATGGAGCTCCACGTGTATCTCTTTATGTGGCTATTCCCACATTTGGCTTTGTTGTATTTGATAGTTTTTCTCTTCATTTTTTTCTCTTCATGTGTTTAAGGGCTATTTATCAACACTCAAAATTAATTGATTGATCTCTCTTTAAAATACTAAGTCATGATAAATTTATGGCCCTAGTTAGAACAAAATTTTGACTTAGAACAATAATTGTGTCAAGTAGGGTTGATTGTGTCAAGTTGGATTTGGTTTGGCCATATAATAAGTTCATGTTTAGGTTTGGCTCGAGTCAACCTTTCACATGTTATTTGTAATTATTTGAAACAAAAATTAAATAAAATATTATACAAAATTCAAGTAATTTTTTTTTACAAATGATTAATATAAATAAAATATAAACAAACCAATTCATTGAAATAGTTAAAACCAACCAAATGAGTAATGATTTGATAATTAATAAGCTCATAATTTTGAGCTTTTAAAATTAATATTATCATCAAGAATTTTAAAAAAAGCATAATGAAAATTCTAGCAAGAAAATAAATTGATTTTAATATAAAATTTTTTATAATGAATAATAACTCCAAATAACTTAAATAGCGCGAAATTGATCCAAACAAAATGAAATCTTAATTTCATCAAATGTAACTTCTAAAATTAGAATAAAATATCATCTTCAATGTTAATCAAAATATTAACTTAAATTTCAGAAAAAAAATTAATTCAAGCAAATATGAATGCTAATTTAATAAATGTAAAATTAATTATAGTAAATATTAAAGTTAATTTTATTATATATGAATATTAATTTTAGTAAGAGTAAGATGGGTGGTATATCTAAAGAAAGGGATGCTAATATTTTTGATACGATGCCTGAATGGTGTTCATATAAATAGTAAACTTTGGATGATAGATATGTAAATATGTAAAAGTTATGTGGCCTGCATGTACAATAGAACTAACCAAGTTGCAGCAAAGCATATTATATTGTTTTCAGGACATCAAAGTTAGATATAACATAACAAACATCATATGGCAGACATAGCAACATAACGATATTGACAAAACAGTGAACATAATCACATCAAGGCAAACGATAAGCAGCAATAGCTCCAAGACATGCTTATCAGCAATAGGTTGATGAAGATCATTTGTTCAAATATGGCAGATTCTTGGTACCAGGATCAGCTCCTTGAAACCTGAAAGGTGATGATTAAGATATTAATGGTCATGGTTTGGATATTAGAAAAGATGTGCCAAGACAGAAGAATAAAAAATAGATGGTACAAAACCTTTCATGAATATAATTCAACTGCGTGTTTTAAGTTTCCGTGGAGTATCAGAAGTTTCAGGAAGGGCCAGCCCCGGCGACTCCTGGACTGGCTCCAGGCAACGATTGGCTGATTGCTAATCAGAATCTTCGTTAAATTCCTCATCAGAGACCTCATCAAAAGACCTCATATCAAGTTGGTAGCGAAGGATGCCGCCAATGCCTCCGAAGCCCCGGCAGAACTGAGACCCCTCTTGAGATTTGTTAGTAACAAACTCGAGCGAACAGCCGAATCGCTTGTACTCGTTGGCAAGCCACTCCAATAGAGAGAGTTTTTCCTGCACCTCAAGTTCCGCAGATGAATCAGTATCACGGAAGTTGGTCTGATCCGACTCCTGATCTTTGTTGAGATGCTTGATGACAGGTTCCCCAGTAGCACAGTTCTTGAGAACGTATCGGTTGATATCCAAATTCTCCCACACGAGTAAGATCTCGACAGCACCCATCTCGAGTGCTTTCAGTGTGTCATCAATGCCAAAAACATACTTTCCCGTATCCTGGCTAATCTCCTCGAAGTACTTCCCGATCAATTTCTTTTCCTGTATGAACTTCACATTTGCCAAAATCTCTGAAGACAAATCAATTGCCTGGTTGAAACCATTTTCTCCACCATTTGAGACATCAATCACAGCCTGCAGACGTGGATCAAACATATCAGATTGGCTCAATTCAGTTTTAAAATCAGCAGACCCAGCCAATATCAACCCAGCAACATTTGGCTGACTTGTAGCAGGATTAATGAAGAATTGTGTGGCAAGTTCAGCTGTCTTCCTGACATAGTTATGGCGCTTCTCCATCCGAAGACGGGCAAACCGCAGTGCAGACTGCCCTCCTCTTCCATGCTTCTTTGGAAGATCAACAGTGAACTTGTGAAGCACCTCACGGGTATTCCCGCTTAGAGTGCCAAAGAGAGTCCCATTACCATCCATGACAATAAAACCAAACTTCTCATCAGATTCAAGAAGTTCATTGAGTGCCTCAGTGTGGAACTTGTTATCGCATAAATAGAGTGATGCATTTATGGGCTTAAATGGCTCAAAATCTATCGTAACCTTTTTTTCTTTTCCATCATCGGTAATAATGGTCCCAGTATATAGAACTAAACCATTAGGTGGAACCTTGCTGTAAAGCTTTAGCCTTTGTTGTGCAGAAGTTATGGCAGTCAGTTGCTGTAAAGCTTTAGCCTTTGTTGTGCAGAAGTTAGGGCAGCCAGTACAGATTGCCGATTAACTCTGCTTTTAATATTAGAAGCAGTTCCATATTCATCACCCAACATCTTAGCCACACGAGAGACCTGATCACGAGGGGTCATGATCAGGGAGATCATGCTTGTGCCATTACCTCTTGCAGCTTCCAATGCCTTGATAAGTTTCTTGATCTTCCATATCTCAATGTTCCTATCGTTCTCATGAGCATCAGCCATCTTGCAAGCTTTGAGAGATGAATCTGCACAAAAAGATGGCCAGATAATACAAACAAACATAAAAAACATCAAATAAAGGTTTGAAAATAAATTAACTATGCTAAAGTACAAAACTGGATAGTGGATCCTAGGAAATAATTGAAGCAAACAAAATGTTTGGCATCATTTGAGATAAGAATAAAATAATATTAACAAGAAAGATGGTTCAATTACTTCAAAAAGAAGCAACATAACCACATCATTGATAAAATGAGCTCCTTCATAGATCATACAAACTAAAAAAAAGTTATAAAATATTTATAAGGAAAAGAATAACCATGTAAGAAGACGGGAAAACCACTTTAGTATAAATATAGATCTTCAGTCATGAAGATCTATGAAGTCTCATCCCATCTATTTTCCTCTTCAGTCATGAAGATCTATGAAGTCTCATCCCATCTATTTTCCTACCTCTATGAAGTCTCATTTCTCATTCGCTCCACTTAAGTGTTCCATATGGCATTCAATCTAATCTTTGCAACAAAATTTCACCAACTTCTATGTATTGTTATCTTACGTCTTACCTATTCTCTTTTATAATCCTCCTGAAATGATTTTAACTATGCGTCAAATTCTTACCATTTTATATGTCCAAACTACCATATTCAATTACCTAATCCTCAATGGATGTCCCTCCAATTATTCCTCTAATACGATTAATGTTTTAATTTATCCTTAAATCTTATTTTCTTTCCACAAGTGTTACATATGGTGTTAAATCTAATTTTTGCAAAATATTTGACCAACTTCTATCTATTGTAATCTTAGGTCTGCTTACTCTCTTTTGCAATCCTCCTAAAATGATCTTAACTATGCATCAAATTTTTAGCATTATATATATCTAAACCACCAATCCTAGGTTCAGCTATCTGATCTTCAATAGATGCACTCCAATTATTCCTCTAATATGATTAATCCTTAATTTATCCTTACAAATTTTAACACATTCATGCTCAAGTTATCCACTAAATACTTTCTATTGTCCAACACTCAAATCCACAGAAAGTCTTTGCAATTTTACGTAATTAACTTTAAAATTTCAATATATCCTCTTAACACAATAATCTCGAGGCATTTCTAAATTTTAACCGTCTAAGTATGATTGTGCACATTCATGCTTAACACAATAATCATCATTTGCTTAAGAAAATCTATTCTTCATTTTTGTCTAATAAATGCAAGGCACTTGAGCCTATCATACCTATGTAAAACTTTAAGTTTTAACAATAATAAATGATGATGGTTGATATCACATTTGCTATATTTGCAAATCATACCGCTAATTTTGCTTTGTATTTCTGTAAAGTGTGTGCATTTGCTTGCATCAGAAAACAAACATATTATCTTTTATGATCCTCCTTAAATGATTTTAATTATGCATCTAATTGTTACCATTTTACATGTCCAAACCACCAAATTCAATTACCTGATCTTCAATAGATGCCCCTCCAATTATTCCTCTAATACAATTAATACTTTAATTTATCCTTAATCTCATTCTTCACTCGTTCTTCTTAAGTGTTCCATATGGTGTTAAATCTAATTTTTGCAGAATATTTTATCCAACTTATATTTATTATAATCTTAGGTCTACCGATTTTCTTTTGTAATCCTCCTAAAATGATCTTAACTATACAAAATTTTTTTTACCATTTTAGATATCTAAACCCACCAATCCTAGATTCAGCTATCTAAGCTTCAATAGACGTCACTCCAATTATTCCACTAGTATGATTAATCCTTAATTTATCCTTACAAATTTTAACACATTCATGCTCAAGTTATCCACTAACTACTTTCTATTGCCCAACACTCAAACCCACAGAATGTCTTTGCAATTCTACGTAAAATTTCAATATATCCTCTTAACACAATAATCTTGAGGCATTTCTACATTTAAACTTAACATTTGCTTGAGAAAATCTATTCTTCATTTTTTGTTCTAATAAATGCAAGGCATCTGAGCCTATCATACCTATGTAATACTTTAAATTTTAACAATAATGGATGATGATAGTTGATATCACATTTGCTACATTTGCAAATCATAACGCTAATTTTGCTTTGTATTTATGTAAGGTGTGTGCATTTGCTTGCATCTGAAAACAAACATATTCTCTATTATAACCCTCCTGAAATGATTTTAATTATGCATCAAATTGTTACCATTTTATATGTCCAAAGCACCATATTCAATTACCTAATCTTCAATAGATGTCCCTCCAATTATTCCTCTAATACAATTAATCCTTTAATTTAACCTTAATCTCATACTTCACTCGTTCCTCTTAAGTGTTCCATATGGTGTTAAATCAAATTTTTGCATAATATTTTGACCAACTCCTATCCATTATAATCTTAGGTCTACCTATTTTCTTTTCTAATCCTCCTAAAATGATCTTAACCATGCATCAAATTTTTTACCATTTTATATATCTAAACCCACCAATCCTAGATTCAGCTATCTAATTTTCAATAGATGTCACTCCAATTATTCCACTAATATGATTAATCCTTAATTTATCCTTACAAATTTTAATACATTCATGCTTAAGTTATCCACTAACTACTTTCTATTGCACAACTCTCAAATCCACAGAAAGTCTTTGCAATTTTACGTAATTAACTTTAAAAATTCAATATATCCTCTTAACACAATAATCTCAAGGCATTTCTACATTTAAACTGTCTAACATTTGCTTAAGAAAATCTATTCTTCATTTTTTGTCCGATAAATGCAAGACACTTGAGCCTATCATAACTATGCAATACTTTAAATTTTAACAATAATGGATGATGATAGTTGATATCACATTTGGTATATTTGCAAATCATAACACTAATTTTGCTTTGTATTTCTGTAAGGTGTGTGCATTTGCTAGCATCTGAAAACAAACATATTCCTCCAATGCTTTGCTATCATTCTTATACCTCCATATTCCACCAGCCCTCTGATAGAATCAAGAATATAATAATGCAAAAAATATTTCAGTAGAAAATCAATCAAGGAATTGAAACAGGCCGCCTAAACCATCTATAAGCTCATCATTAACAAGAGAATGTAGTCACATCAAACTAACATAAGAATACCTCCACATTTTCCTAAAGAAGAAACAACAATCCAGCTCCATGCACCATGTTGCTTAGGGACCAATGTCTAATGTATTACAAAAATCAGCAACATCACAAAAAAAAGAACTCAGCTTGTCCGTAAGCATCTTATATTGCGACAAGGAATACACATATAAATCTATTTCCATCATTCAGGACATTTCTGACAACTTGGCATAAAATCATCTTGATTTGAACATCCGCAAATGAAATAAAAAACAGAATTTAAGATTCAACATAATACCAAATCTGAATCCTTTCATATACTAGCTAGAAAAAAAATCTAACGCAACTCCCTTGCCCTAGGCCCTTTGCAAGTATTGGTAAAACAAAAACGATATATTGAAAAAATAACTACAATTTCCAGAAAATTCATGCCGACGCTCTAGGTGTCGTCTGCCCGATAGATCAAAAGCACATTCCGATAGAAAAAATAGTCTCAAAACACGGTCCAAATACAAACTCAACAAGTAAATCCACAAATCTAAGATCTAGAACCCAAACATCAAAACCCTAGGCTCCAGCATCAAGATTCTTTCTCCAGAAGATAATTGTACAAACGACTATTAAGATCATAGAATTCAAACAAACATAATTACAAAAATTTCGTGCCCACGATTTGCAAGATTAAATGCCGAAAGCCTAGCATGAATAGGAAGCAAGATCGAGCAAATAGAACTTGAAATTAAAGGAAGAAAGCAGACCTGTGTAAGACCTCCCCTCGCACCGCGGCTTGGATTCTGATGGCGTCAAAATCGGAAAGATGTGACGATGAATTTATAAATAGAAATAGACGGACGGATGAGATCGCCAGCTTCATGCTAAGGAGAGCCGTGTGATGCTTTGCTCCTTTTCATTTTATAACAATAATAAAAATAATGATGTGGTTCTTTTGGGTGAACCTTGATTCGTTAATAAAAACTTTTTTTTTAAGCCTTCGACTTAGAACCCAAATTGAACCTCATGATTAAGATAGAGGAATGCAATGTACGCATGCACGAAAATAGAAATGGAAATGAAAATGAGAACAGAAAAAGTTGCAGGCCTTTATGGTAGGTTGGAAATAGTTAAACATATATATTTTTAAAAAGCATGTGTTTAGACATTGACTCATAATTATGAAAAGTGTAAACTAAATAAATGAAAGGAAATGAAATTGATTTATTTACTGTTTTTTTTTACTGTGCAGTTTTACGGTGAATGTTTTTTTTACAAAATATTTTAAAATGATAATTATTGTAATATGGAAATATTTGCTCGCTAAGTAGTTTTAACTCAATCTTGACCTCACATTTGTGAGGGCTCATCCATTCACTTTGCATAGCCTCAGACCAGAGTTGTGATTGTTAGGACTCATCAGGCCAAACCTAAAAATCCTTAACTCTTAGTTGGGTTGGATTAGGGTTTTGGCCTGATGGGAGACCCAAATTGACCCCCATGAGTAAGACATGCCTCAAGTCACCTCTAAGAACCCAGAACACTAAAGACCTTCTTATAGATTGTAGGGGCCACTATGACCATAAAATTCACATTGGGAAGGGGAAATTGATCCCTAGTCTCACCTAAAGCCTCCCCAGCCCTAATTAACCTTAAAAATACTTGAAATTTCACTGCACCAATTTGGTCCCAAGACTTGGTGGCACCATGAGTGGTCAAATCCAATTGGGAGTAGCCTAACTTTGGTCAATTCTTGACCAATTGAACACATTGTCATACAATTGAACCTCACCTAAAGTGGTCATGACATCAAACCACTTAGAGGCTAAAATTGACATAATGGGGCCAACCTTCATCACCTAGTTATTTAATTAGGCGGATTATGAAATTCCCATATGACCCAAACCTTTGAACTGAACCCAACCCAATTAGGTTAGCCCTAAACCCTAAAAATCTAAACCCAAGCCAATGGCCCAATTTCCTTAACCCATTATACATGGGCTAACCATGACTCACCATGACCCACCATAACCCACTATGACCCATCATGACATTCCAATTTAAATTAAGATTAATTAAAATAAAATTGAGCATGGGACAACCACTAAAAGATAAATTTTGCACTCTTCACCATGGGGACGGGGAGACACTTGGCACCAAGTCAAGCCCACCCATGTTCAAAATTTGAGGACCTAAACCAGGCCAAAATTGGGTCAAGCCAGACCAAACTTGATCTTAGCCACCCCACAAAAAATCTCCCTAATCAAGCCAAGCACCCTCCCATGCCTCCTACACTCCCATTGGCACAACAATGCCCAACACTTAGATAAGTAGGAGGATGTGTGGAGAGCGCAGAGCACCGAACCGCTAGACTATTCTACATTGGCGTGGAAAGCACAGTGAATCGACAGAGGATGTGTGGGCTTTCAACGACACCAAGGTTGACGTGGCATTGAGCTGGATAAGTAGGAAATTCCTATTTTCCTATTTAATTAAATCCAGAAAATGCCTAAAAACATACAAACTACATAACTTAATGTAGAAAAATCACAAAAAATAAAATAAAAATATCTTTGAACTCAAGGAATAGAGGAGAAAATAATATAAATAATAATGAAAATGATTAACTTATAATTAATTTTTAGATAATTAAATACTCCAGAGAGTATTTTAATTATTAAAAATTAATTCTGATACAGAAAAATCCAAAATTTTGGGAGAATTTCCCTCTACATTTGGAAATATCCTCTATTTTTTCCAAAGTCAGAGGGGCTCTCTAATTTTTAAAATGATATATTTTCTACCAAAATTGTAATTATTTTGAAAAATAATTACAAAAATTGAAATAAAAATTAGAAAAATGAAAATTAAAATTGAAATTAAAAAGAAAATTTTGGGCAGTGAAATTAAACACTAAAATAACAATTTTCATCCCTAACCTAAAGAAGAAATTTCGAAAACTTAGGGGTGAAAATGTAAAATTTAAAATTTACACTTTAGCCCAAAATTTCCCCTAAATTTAATTTAAAACACTAAACCAATCTTAGGGGCATAACCTGATAGAGTTCTTAAGGGATTCAAAGCGTAGTTATCAACCTAACCATAAAACCACCCTTAATGACCCAGGGTTAGCCCAAATTGAGCTTGAACTTGGTTTAGGTCTAACCTAACTTAAACCCGACCCAAGTAGACTCACAAGTGGACCCAATCCAATTGAGGTCAAGCCTGAGCCCCAGTCAGGTTTCACCTAGCTCATGTTTAACTTGGGTTTGCTCTAGGTCTAACCCAACTTAGACATAGTACAACCTAAACCCTTTTAGGTCTAACCCCAAATTAGACCTAACAACAACTTAAACCCTTTTTGCCTAACCTAAATTAGACCTAATCACAACATAAACCCCACTAGGTCTAACCCAATTTACCTATTGCAACCTAAAAGCCACTAGGTCTAACCCAACTTAGACCTAGTGCAACCTAAATCCTTTTAGGTCTAACACAAATTAGACCTAACTGCAACTTAAAATCCTTTTAGGTTTAACCCAAATTAGATCTAAACCAAACCCAAACCCTTTAAGTCTAACCCATATTGGACTTAACCATAGCCCAAGCCCTTCTAGGTCTAACCCAAATTAGACTTAGATTATCCTAAATCTTTCTATGTCTAGCCCAAATTAAACCTAGCTCAACCAAAACCATCCTAAATCTAATCCAACCTAGACTTAGTTCAACTCAAACTCAACTAGGTCTAACCTAACTTTGACCTAGCTTAACCTATGCTCAACTAGGTATAACTTAACATAGACATAGTTCAACTCAAACCACCCAAGGTCTAACTCAACTTAGAACTAGTTCAACATCAACCCCTTTAAGTCTAACTCAAATTAAACCTAATTGCAACCTAAGCTCAACTGGACATAACCTAAATTAGACCTAGCTTAGTTCAAATACTACTGGGTCTGGCTTAACTTAGACATAGTCCAATCCAACCCTTACTAGCTCTAATCCAACTTAGACCTAGTTTAACCTAAAACCTTTTAGGTCTAACCCTAATATGAATTGTTTTAGGCTAACCCAAATTAGACATATTTTTGACATGAAACATTTAGGTCTAACCCCAAATCAACCAAATCATCAGGTCAACCCGACCTAACACAGGTTAACCTAAATCAACTAAATCACCAGGCTGACCCAACATAACTCGAGTTAACCCAAATCAACTAAATCACCGGCTTGACTCGACCTAACTCAGGTTACCCAAAGCAACTGATTATTTGGGTCAACCCAACTTAACTTGAGTTAACCAAATCAACTGATTCTCTATGTCAACACGACCTAACTCGTGTTAACCCAAATCAATTGCATTACTGGGTCAACCTGACCTAACTCAGGTTAACCAAATCAACTAAATCGTCATGTCAATCTGACCTAACTCGGGTTAACCCAAATCAAGTGATTCACCGGGTTAACCTGACCTAATGATACACCTAAAATATATAATATTTTTGTACACATTTTTATACCTATGTTTGAGATATTACACTTTAATGGAAGGAATTTGTGTGTTTTTTTAGGTAGAACTACAAAGGTGAAAAATTGCAAAAGAAGTGAAAAATAATTAAATATGGAGCAAAAATGCAAAAATGGTGCAAAAGTATTTTGGTGCCTAAGCGCCAGATCCGACGCTTAAGTTCCGGTGAAACAGAGAAGGCCACGCCTAAGAGCGAGAGACCCTGCGCTTAAGCGCCATTGACAGTTACTTGACGGGTTAATTCATTTTGAAAAATTTCAAAGGGACATTTGAGACTGCTATTGGCTAAAGAGGGTAGTTATTGATCCGTGGATTTTGACACGCCTAAAAATTACCTACTTTTTCATATCTATTTTATGCTCAATTTTAATGATTTTTAATGATATTACACTTTAAAGGAATGTATTTTGCATATTTTTAGTTTCAGGTATAAAAAATAGAATTTTGGAGAAAATGAAGTAAAAATGGTGCAATTTGGAGTTAAAATGAGCAAGAAAGAAAATTCTGTCTTGATACATCTCGATATGTCTTTCTATACTTCATTTACTCTACATTTCTTACATGTTGTTAGATGAAATTACACTTTAAAGAAATGTTGTTTTCATGCTTATTTTGTAGGTAAATCTGTAATGAGCAAAATGCAACGGAAATGGGGCAAATCAGAGTTGAAACGGAGCCAAATGGAGCAAAACAGTAGAGCTGCTGCAGGGTGGCGCATGATGCGCCAAAATCCAGAGAACTGGCGCATGATGCGCTGATTTGGCGCCAGATGCGCCAGAGATGACTTTTTACGGATTAAGGCGGTTTGGGATGAGTTTTTGCACGAATTTTCAAAGGGACACTTGTTCTAAACACCCATTGGAGTGCTTCAATCCATCTAGATACATTGGAAGGATCTTTTATGAAGACATATGTCTCATGGATCAATAGACATGTCTTTTGAATTCAAATGAGTTGACTTTTGGATAAAATTTCAGAGGGAATTTTAAATTTTTTTTGGAGGGAGGCAGCCTTTTATAAAAGAGAGGAAAGTCTAGGGCTTGAAGAGGAGTTTTGGGGCGTGAGTTGGTGGTGTGTGTGTATGTGTGTGTGTGGCGTGAGTTGAGAAGAAGGAAAAGGAGAGAGTGAGAGAGAAATTCAAGGGCTTGTGATTTTCTTCAAGGATTGTAAGAGGAGAGGGAAGGTGACAATTTCTTCTTCTTTACATTTTTTGGAGAGAATTGAGAGTGCTTGTAAGGAGAGAAAGACTTGATGAGAACTTCTAGGGATTTTCTTAGGAAGGATTGTGAGATAAGTTGTCTCTTTTATTTCTTTTGTATTCTAAACTTGTTTTTA